GACGCGATTCATCTAACTACTCTGCATTACCATATTGAGTAAAATATGGCCGTATTTCTGGGCCATTGTTCCCGTGCTGCTCTAATGATTTGCCTAGTAGTATATTCATTTCTTTTGCATCATGCTTGTATTATGATTTGCCATGAGAGGGAAATAATAAACAACTTAATATTCATTTCTTCGGTATCCCAATGACAAAGAGGGGGGGTATCTAGGCTGCTCCGGAGACACAGGCGCCCCTCGAGTCAGGTTTTCATTACGGCGTCATTACAGTCATTACCATGATCATCACGTCACACCACCCTCGTCTTCCCCGTCACCGCTCCCACGGCCAAAAGCTCTATCCTCCCCGCGTACAGACTCATCATGTGCGCCACGGGATCTCCCCATATCACGCCTCGCAACTGATGCTCCCCGCACGTCACCGCCACCACGCCCTCGTCCAGCCTCTCCCTGACGGTCTTGTGCTCCGTCACAGGAGCGAGCGGATTGCCTGTCCGCAGAACCGCGATCGTCCCCGCGTTGCTGAGCTTCGAAGGCGGCACTTTCCACTCCGGCCGACCGTGGACCGGGTCCGGCGGCGGCGGCGGCGGCGGGTTGGCGAGCAGCGCGACAAGAGACCGGACGTACGACTTGGACGCCCGCGCCACGGGGTCGCCCTCGTTGACGAAGCTCAGAAACAGGCTCTTCCTGAGCTCCCTCCTCCTGGGCGTCTTGAGCGGCAGCAGGCTGACGGGCGGGGCGCCGAACGTGACGCAGTGTATGCGCCTGAAGCGGCCCGCGAGCAGCGCCAGCTCGCTCTCGATGCCGCTGAGCATGTGGCTGTACAGGAGGGCCGCGACGGCGCCGCCGGCCGAGTGGCCCGTCAGGAGGAGCGAGTACCCTGCCCGCCCGGGGTTCTCCTCCAGCAGCTGCCTTAGGCGCGCGGCCACGGGGCGCACCGTCTGGCGGGCGACGGAGAGGAACCCGGCGTGGCAGTGGTTGTCGTGGTCGTCGAGGAAGTTTGTGGGCGGCGAGGGCGCCATGTTGAGGTTGACGGCCCAGTCGGAGAAGGAGGCGGTGCCGCGGATGGCGAAGACGATGGTGTTTGCGTGGTCCATGGAGACGGACTTGATGCGCATCGCTTTGGTGTTGTTGCGAAGGGACGAGGGGATGTGCGTGTTCAGCTCGTCGGCTTCCGGGCTGGTGTAGACGCGGTGGGAGTATTGGGCGGCCAGGCAGAGGAGGGGCCACGTCGGCATGTATCTGGGTGTTGTTAGGTTTTGTTGAAGGAGAGGGAGGGAAAGGAAGAAGGGGAAACCGGGACTTACAGACGAAGAGGGGGGAGGTTCGTGGGCAGTTTTGAATTGGCATATAGTTCCACCTTGGAGAAATAGTGGCCCGATACCACAGCAGTAGCTGTGTGAGCGACTTGTGAGGGCTGTCCTTTTTCCTGCTGTCGAAAGGGACATGTCTCTTTGAAACCCAGGGTTTGACAAGTGTGTTTGTCGTGAGTTGGCCATGGTTGAGATGGATCATGTGTGTAAGGTTGGGGTTGGGGTTGAGGTCTATACTGGACGAGACTGTTTTGAGAAGCGGGCTCCCGGCATAGGAACAAATTCCTTTCGTGGCCTGATAGGCTCTCGGAATCAATCAGCGTCATGACATTGTCGAAACGGTGCTTGATGTCATCGTATGCCGCGTTGGCAACGTTGGTGGAGGGTGTAAGTTGCTTTCGGGGCCCAGGGGTATGAGTGCATATCCATTCCAGTGCCAGGTCGACCATGGACTCGGAGAGGCGGCCGACGTCGAGGCCTTTCTGTTTCCGAGGTGCGCGCAAATCATATTGGGGATACGATGCTTTGTGGGTTGAGCATGGAGCTGGGAAAGGTGGATGCGGCAAGTTTGTAGGCGGGCTGTAGTTGAACTGCGGCTGCGAGGCTTTGGAATCAGGATAGAAGTTGTATTGTGCTGGGACTGGTGCAGGAGATGATGTATACATGTTGGGAGGACATGTAAACGAGGCTGGCTTGAGGTTGGACGTGGACGGCCTGGAGCCCCTGGACGGCCGTTCTGGTTTGGAGCTGGAGAGGCCCATGGCGAAAGACAGTCAGTCATTGAACGTTGCTCAATGACGGCGATGGAACTTGTGCATTCTAGCCGAGACAATCTTGTCGGTGGCGAAAACCTTGAAATAAAGCAACTGGGAATAGAGAAATTGAGTGACACTATTCACGAGTCACAACGTTGAGGGGAAAGTGGTGTTGTACAGGTTGTTGTGCAGATTGTGCAAGTGTACTAGTTGTACAAGTTGTAATACAGGCGCTCACATGCCGCGGCATGTCTCACAGCCCTACTCTGTAGTATTGGATGTTGCATCACACCAGCGCTGTCGACTTTAACTGATTGCCAGTACTCCGTAGTATTCTACATAGTAAGATGCTGAGCACACGCAGATGACAGTGACAGAGCCGTCGATTGATCCTTGAACCTCGTCGCATGCCATGTGATTTGCTGTGCCTCGGGCAGCTGCAGCTACGGCTGTGTCTGGGAGTCTGGGGATGGCGAATGGCAGTGCAGATGTGGTGCGTCGCGGCTATGGTATACATTGTATGGATTGTCTTGGCATGGGCTGCATGAACGATGTGAAACTGCCCTTGGAGCATTGGCTAGCAATGCGAGGTATTGAATACGTGCAGTGTTTTAACATTGGTTTACTTCCTACTGTACTCACCGGTGAGGGGTGGTGAGATGGACGGTGTAATGAAGAATCGAGTTGCTTTTTTTTTTCTTTAATTTTTTTCTTTAAATTGACACGTCTCTTTCCTCGCTTCTCCTCTTGCCATGGCTTCCGTTGAGCCTCAAAACGCGTTGGCTGCATCGTAACACTAGGCAGGAATGGGCAGCTGTTCCGTGTCGCCTCATCTTGGCACGATGAGGCCTCTCGTGCTTGTCACAAGACTCACAACAGCGGCGAGGACGGACGCTCGCATTCCCTCGGTCAACAGATACGTGATGCGTGATGCATAAACAACTATCCGGCAACGGGAGGGCCATTTCGCTGGCGCCAGTGCGGAGTTAAACACCGACTTTGATCACGACAGCGTCTGGCAATAGTGGTGAGCCTCACTTGGACGCCCAACGCAAGTCATGAGAGTGCAAGAACTGGTGATACGTCTCAGCATGCAGACTTTTACCTTATCCTTCGGTATCAATAGCATCCAACTCTGCATAAATGCTCTTCTTGACATCCTCATCGGCCCAGCACATATCTACCGCATTTCTCCCTAACTGCACCATTTCCGCCTTGGACAACCCGCCATAGTTATATGCCTTCTCCTGGTTGCCATCGATCCACACGTCGTGCATATACACAGGATCATCGCTATTAACGCAGTACTTGACTCCCTTGTCCAGGAGCTGCCGTAATTTAGGAAACAGGGCTTCCGTCGCCGTGCGTCGGTGATAGGCATGCGGGCAAAGGGTCAATCCGATTCCCCTTGTTCTGAGGCCCTCAACCAGCTCATCACGATCGAGGGCGTCCAGTCCGTGGTCTATCCTTTCAACGCCCACGTCGAAGATAGCCTGTCGGATATGCTCATGAGTATCCTTCTGGCCGAAATCGCAGTGCGTTGTGAGGTGAAGCCCATCCGCCCTGGCACGGGCAAACGCATTCTTGAACAGAATCGGCGGTCTCTCGTAGGCATTGCTCGCCAGTCCAACAGCGTGAAACAGGCCGAGTCCTCCGTTGCACGTGGCCCACGGCAGAGCAGTCTCGTAAGCAGCCTCGCCATCCTCCACGGGCTCGTCGCGCAAGAAGCAGAATATCCACTGCGACTTGACACCGTACCGTTCTGCGCCGTCCCTTTGTGCCTTCAGGTAGCCGTTCAGAACGGCCTCGGCGGCAACCCCCCTCCTGGTGTGAGCCTGAATATCGAAGAATGGCTCGACGTAGCGCACCTTCATCTCCTGGCAGCGCTTCAGGTAGTCCATGGCGAGGTCGTAAAAGTCTTCTTCTTGAAGGAGGACCTCGCAGCCGGCAAAGTAGGCTTCCAGGAAGGTGGGCACATCTTTGCGGCCGCCCAGCTCGGGGCGGTGGTTGTATGTGACCTGGTAAGATTCAAGCAGCTCTTCGTAGGTCTTGTAGGTCTGGTCCTTGAACCGTAGTGGGATATTGTTGCGTTGGGCAAGGGTCCAGCGGAGAGGAGGCCGGAGGGTGCCTTCGATGTGAATGTGCAATTCGACCTTGGGAAGGGAGGAGATGAAAGGGGATATCTGTAGGTTGTTCATTGTGGTGGTGACGATATTGGCGGTGGTGTTGGAAGGAGGACAAGCTGATGGCACAATCTGTTCCGCTTTCCGCCCTGTACGGATTCCACCAAAATGATCAACTACGACAGGTCTGCGCCGAGTAGGTCTGATGAACCTCGGCCAGCTCCGGTCACGGCTACTGTATCCTTATCATGCCCGTCGTCATTTGCGGCCAGGCAACGCGCTCTTTGCGGCGGCCAAGTGGAGAGACTTGAGGTCACAGGTCAAACCAGTTGGACCTGCTTCCGTGCTGCGTACTCGCCAGATTTCTTTCCAAATACGCCGGATAAGCTGCATTGGCCGCAAGAAACTTCATGATCCCGGCGTTAACGTGTGGAAATGGTGGCAAAGAGTGCTGATCCGTGGCTATGGATTTGCAATAGTCGTTGTTTGATGGGGGCAAGTTCGGATGCCTAATGTCGCTATTCAGTCTGCACATGTGGTCCTCCTGACTCCTCCATAAGACCCCCACACTTGGGACTTGGGAGGCTGAAGTTCTGAACCAGCTTGCATCTCACTTGCATCGCATTCCACACGCCCCCGCGACTCGCTACCCCAATCTGGGATTGGCAGTTTTCCTTTTGCCCATGCTGGCTAGTTGGCCTGCCATTCTCTCCTCATGGAGAAGGCGATAGACGTGCGAGCATTGGGTCTCCCGAGTCCCGAGTCTGTAGAATCCGTTGTGCCGCTCTCGTCTCCTTATTGAGAGAATGGCCCTCCCCTCCGACGATAGCAACCCTGGCATTTCTCATCTGCACGCTTCAGAATCCGATGCTCTGCTCGGACTTCGCACTATGGCTGAACTCTCGCAGGATCCGTCTCGTTTGGAGCCTGCGCCTGATGCGGCTGTGGCTCGTCGTGTGCTGAAGAAGATTGATCGAGCCATAATCCCGGTGCTATTTGTCACGTATATGCTCAACTTCATGGATAAGATCATCCTTTCGAGCGCGGCTGTTTTTGGCCTTCGAGACGACAATGTGAGCCCCTGATTCTCGACACCTCGAGCAGCATGAGCCTACATTGGAGAACGTATTGCTAACATTATCTTGCAGCACCTCAAAGGACAGGAGTATAGCTGGGTGTCCAGTATATTTGTACGAGTTTTCTATGAGGCTCTACCAAACATCCTTGAAATACTGACCCCAAAAAAATCTAGTACTTTGGCTACCTTTTTTGGGAATATCCTACCACAATTTTGATTGCCCGTCTGCCCACGGGTAAATACCTCACCGCGAACACGGTGTTTTGGGGGGTTGTCGTCACCCTGACGGCTGCCTGCAAGAACTTTGGCGGCCTAATGGCTGTTCGCTTCCTCTTGGGTGTGGCCGAGGCCACCATCACGCCTGGTTTCATGTTCCTGACGTCGACATGGTATACCCGTGACGAAATGCCCACTCGTGTAGGCATTTGGTTTGCAGGCAACTCTGTTGGCGGCTTGGTGTCAAGTCTGCTTGCCTTTGGGATTGGGCACATTGAGGATAATGTCCACCCTTGGAGGTGGATGTACATCATTCTTGGGCTGGGAACCTTTCTCTGGGCGATTCCCATGTTCTTTCTTCTTCCAGATAACATTTCAAAAGCCAGATTCTTGACACCCGACGAACGCCAAATCGCAAAGAACCGCGTCATCGTTGCTGGCACAGGTTCCACAGAGAACTCATCCTGGAGATGGGATCAGGTGGTAGAGTGCTTGATCGACCCCAAGTCCTGGCTGATCTTCTTCATCAGCCTCTTGACACAGATTCCCAATGGCGGAACCCAGGGCTTCTCCAATATTATTATCCAATCCTTCCATTTTACCAACCTCCAGTCAACGCTTATAAACATACCCTACTCCCTGATTACAGCCGCTGTGATTGCTGGCACAGGCCATCTATCAGGTCGCTTCCGAAAGCTAAACTGCCTCCTCATCGTTACGGTAGTGATGCCCTGCGTCATCGGTGCTGCCATAATATACCGCAGGACCGCCGTATCTCACGGTGTACAACTCTTTGCTTACTTCCTCCTGTCCACTGGCCCTGCAGCAATGCCACTCGCCATGTCTCTTGTACAATCTAACTTTCGCGGCGTCAGCAAGAAAATGACAATGACGGCCATGCAGTTCATCGCCTACTGTACGGGCAACATTATCGGGCCACAGCTCTTCCGCCAGACCGAAGCGCCTTCGTACGAGTCCGCTTTCCAGGCTATCATGATTTGTTATGCATTGGCTATGACTCTGGCGGTATCGCTCAGATTCTATCTGCAGTGGATGAATGCGAGGAGGACGAAGAAGGAGGGCTTTGACGGTAGTGCTGGTGCGGCTGGAGCGGTTGCTGATGGGAAGATGCCGATGCAGCTTACCAGTAGAGATGTTGCTGAGGTGGTGACGGAGATTCAACTACAGCCTGAGGATTACGAGGATGTGACGGACTGGAAAATGGCGGGCTTTAGATATCGTCTGTAACTTACATGTAAAAGGGTAGGTGATATATATATATATATATTGTCAATTTGTTTTTTTAAAAAAAGGCAAGATAATCATGGAAGACATCTAGTAACCTTGTATTTTAGCCTGACCTAGTCCAGGGAACCACACCTAACCACGTAATACACCACGAACGCATCGCGATACGTCAGTCACACTAGCAAAAGAGCTAGCTAATAGAAAGTAACACCATGTGCTAGTTTATCCTCATCACGTAGGGATATATGCACACACACACACACACACACACACACACACACATATATATATATATATATATATATCGAAAATTGGCGGCCAACGGGAAAATTAATCTTCGACTAGCCCGTCAAAGCTACTTATTTAAGATTTATTGGATGGCTATAATCTGAATGCGTCTAGAAGCTGCCTGGCCTCAATAACTTGACCGTATTCGGTTGCTGGTGCGTTGCTGGACGGCCACTCCCAAGTCGTTGCGCCAAAAAATGGGCGTGGCCACGCCCATTTGTGTGCTGATCCCCCCAACGTTGAACTATGTATGTACGTAAAAGAGTGGAGCCTTTCCACGCTACGGAGTAATTCGAGCAACAAGAGCTGCGGTGGCGGTGGCGGTGGCGCTTAGAGATCCGCCCGGAATAGCCTTAATCCGAAACATGCCAGAAACCAAGATCTGCGTGGAAATTCCGATTCTGATTTCGCCATCGTATGTTCATCAAAGAGCCTTGTTCCCTCAAGTCGCGACAACACAATTTAGTCGCCAACGAACATTCACGATGTCGTGGAGAAATCAAGGCATCACTGGCTCGAACAACATTCCTCTTGGGAAGCGCCGCTTCGCTGAAGAGGATGGGGTTACTGACGAAGAACCGAGTCGGGGTCGCGACCCAGAACCCAGAACTGAAGCAGATGGTCCTCGCCGACGCAAGAAGCGCAACCGATGGGGCGATGCATCCGAAAATAAGGCTGCAGGCCTTATGGGGTTGCCTACTGCCATCATGTCTAACATGACGAGTGAACAGTTGGAGGCCTACACTCTGCATCTTCGTATCGAGGAGATCAGTCAGAAGCTGCGCATTGACGATGTCGTCCCTGCCGATGGGGACAGGTACGTGTCTTCAAACTGCCAAGTAAGCATTGTCATTATTCTAATAATCTCGTCAGATCGCCTTCGCCCGCTCCTCAGTACGATAACCACGGCAGACGTATCAACACGCGAGAATACCGGTACCGCAAGAAGTTGGAAGACGAGCGACACAAGCTGATTGAGAGGGCTATGAAGACGATTCCTAACTACCATCCTCCACAGGATTACCGCAGGCCCACTAAGACCCAGGAGAAGGTCTATGTGCCTGTGAATGACTACCCGGAAATTAACTTCAGTATGATTGCTAACCCTTTAACCCTAACCAATGTTTCTGCTCCCCCCGTTTTGGTGTCCCCTGTTTGGAGTTTGGCCAGTATCGCTGCGACCTTGCGAAGGCGCTTTGAGATAACTGGTCCATCATCGAAATGGGCCTTGACTTTTTTCCTTTGCGTTGCCCTATTCCCCACGTAACATCGAGTGTGAAACAGATTTCTTCAGATACTAACACGTAGCTTTTTTCCCCTCATAAAGTTGGCTTACTTATCGGACCCCGTGGTAATACACTCAAGAAAATGGAGGGGGACTCTGGTGCCAAGATTGCTATTCGAGGCAAGGGCTCCGTCAAAGAAGGCAAAGGCCGGTCGGATGCTGCGCACTCCAGCAATCAGGAGGAAGATTTACACTGTCTCATCATGGCCGATACAGAAGAAAAAATCAACAAGGCGAAGCAGCTTATTCACAACGTCATTGAAACCGTAAGATCCCGAACCATTCTTTCTATATATACTCTTGGTTGATGATTTGCTAACTGACCCATCATAGGCGGCGTCTATTCCTGAAGGTCAAAACGAGCTGAAGCGTAATCAGCTGCGAGAACTTGCTGCACTCAATGGTACTCTCCGAGACGATGAGAATCAAGCTTGTCAAAACTGCGGCAAGATTGGCCACCGCAAGTACGACTGTCCCGAGCGTCAAAACTATACTGCCAGCATCATCTGTCGTGTTTGCGGCAATGCGGGACATATGGCCCGTGATTGTCCCGACCGACAGAGAGGTGCTAGCTGGCGAAATGATGGCCGGCCTGCAGGTAGAATCAATGGCGGTGATGCCGTTGACCGCGAAATGGAGGTATGCACATGTCTTTCTCCCATGTCCCCTCGCCCTTCCCCCTCCTCTTTTTTTTCTTTAAAAAAAGCCCCTGTGCTAACTTTTATTATAGCAACTTATGCAAGAACTTGGAGGAGGCTCTGGACCTCCAGCCCGAATCGAAGCTGGCCCCGGTGGCGGCGCGGATCAAAATGGAGCGGATGCCAAGCCTTGGCAACGTGGACCAACTGGCGGCCCTGCTCCCTGGAGATCCCGTAACCACGACTCCAACGACGGAGAGTCTCGAGGATCTGGTGCTGCGCCGCCTTGGGCCAGGGAACGAAACCGCGGCGGGCATGACCATCATGGGGACCGTGATCGTGACAGAGACCGTGATCGTGACCGTGACCGCGACCGCGAAAACGGCTACGGCCAAGGTTACGGTTCATCTGGATCAGCAGCTCCTCCCCCATGGCAACAGCAGGCTCCTGGAACCCAGGGTGGGTATCCTGGATATGCTGGGTACGGCGGTTACGCTCCTCCTCCTGGTATGGGTGCGCCGCCCGGACTTTCCCAGGCTGGTGCCGGACTGGCAGCTCCTCCCGGCCTCGCCGGAGTAAATGCCCTCATTCAACAGTATGCCGGAGGCGCTACACAAGCTCCTCCACCTCCTCCACCTTCAGGTGATGCGCCGCCTCCGCCTCCGCCTCCTCCCGGAAACCAGCCCCCTCCTCCGCCTCCTGGCGCTTGAGCAAGCTCATGATGGAGTTCGGAACGCAGGCGATGGTGTATTTACTGCTAACGAAGAGCGGCTTCCTTATTGGGAGCAATCAGTTTGTTTATTCACTTACGGGTACAGGACAGTCTGGCGTTTTGAACAGCTTGGCCTAGGAGGTTCCGTCCTAGAGAGAATGGGAACAGTCGGGCAGGTTTTTTACTAACAATTCTTGCCTTCCAACTCGATTCTTGAGACAACTCGACAAGTAATTTGATATAACCTAGCATGTAGGAGATGGTACGACCGAGCTAATGCAGCACTTTATACCGTATGCAGTGTAGCTGAGTGTTTCTTTTTAATAGGAAAAGTTGGTAGTCGTAACTGAGACTCTCGTGAGATGTGAAATGGCCACGGCCGTGATGACGTTGCGACGCTCGGGTCTTGGGCTCGGCTTAAGATGGTGAGTGGCCGCATTCGGTCGTACGAGATGACGGTCTTGGCATTAAGCCGACCGTGGGTTTCGAGTGGCCATGAACGTAGTATCGGCCATTGCGCCTTTGTTTATGCTTCACAAGAGGCAAATATTGTTTCAGAGACGTGCATACAAGACGGCCTGTGTCATTTGCCTTTGCTGGAAATCTAAATAGAAAAAAAAGGCAAAGACTGTCGGCGGTTATCATTGGCATGATGGGCCTAAAACATGACACCAGACATTATCCAGTCCCCCGTTCATATCGGTTGTGCGGGGTGACGGCCACTGGACGGACAGTCGAGGTCGGAGACATGCAGCTGCACCGGCCGACGTTTTTAGCAAGCTCCAAGCTCCAAGCTCCCCGAGCTCCAAGTGGACATGGAAGCTCCATGTCACGTCCTGTGCACCACCACCTCGACATGCAGTCTGGACATCTGGACCTTTCAACCTGCCGCGCATTCCATCTTCCCGCTCCGGCTCCAACCATCTCTCCCGTCCCATCCTGCTGCAGGTTTATTTTTCCATCAATCAACCCTATAGGCGGCCTTTTTTTCTTTGCAGAGGAGGATATTTTCATTATCCTGTGGCCCGGCGCTTCGTCCTAGTCTCTTGTCCTAAAACGCCACCGAGCGCGCTTCATTTCCAAGGTCGCTTTCGCCATGTTCTTTGGCACCGCGTAAGGGCGCCTCTCTATCCAACGTCTCGCCTTTGCTTATCGTGAATACGCTTTCGCCTGCGTTGCACAAATTCGTAACTAAGTTCGCCATGAAGCTCGGTAATCCGTTTGTTTTCCGGCCAGGCCCGGTCAGCTTCTGGACAACCATTGTCTATCTCGCCATTATCATACCCTTGATTTATGTCCAGGAAACGGTGCCGCCTGCGCCGTCCGAAAAGGAGCTGCCGCAGGGCGTCAATTTGACAGAAGCGTGGCTGGATTTGGAGGTCATTACTAGATCATACCATCCTTTTAACAGCCACTCGAACGATATAGTTCGCGAGTATCTCATGCGTCGATCCAGGGACATTTTGGAAAGAAATGGGATTGACTATACTACGGATTTAACAGGTGGTGTGCCCTGGGAAAGCAGGTTCGTTCGGAGCTGCTCTGATGATGGAAGACGTGTTGCTTACCAGCGTGAACAGGTATTTGTCTTCGGCTGAGCATCCCGTCCAGGCCGCCGAGGTCTCTGCTCGCCCGCGCGGGGCCACGCTCTTTGATGATCGCATTTCAAACGTGACAATGACTAATCCTCAGCCGAATAATACCATGGGACGGTACTTTGAAGGCAACAATTTTTACGTGTATATTCATGGTTCTGAGGACCCGGAGGGGGATTGGTGGACCTCTGACAATGTTCAACGAGTTGCTCGCAATGGCGCTGGCGTTCTCGTGAATTGCCATTTTGACTCGTGAGTCTTCGTTAGGTTTCGGGCATGTCAAGCTTGTTACTGATAGATTCAAGGGTATCTACCGGCTATGGCGCCACCGATGACGGCATGGCATGCATCTCCCTGCTGCAATTGCTCAGTCACTTTACCTCCGAGGGCCATCAACCGAAGAACGGCATTGTCTTGCTTTTCAATAATGCCGAAGAGGACGGGCTACTCGGGGCCCAAGCTTTTGGATATAGCCCCTTGGTGCAGTTTTGCAATACATTCGTCAACCTGGAGGGGGCGGGAGCTGGCGGTCGAGCCATGCTGTTCCGAACGACGGATCTCGAGGCCGCTGAGGCGTACTCCAAAAGCCCTCATCCCTTCGGATCCGTTGTAGCGTCGAATGCTTTCGAGCGAGGTGTGATTAAGAGTGGCACGGATTACTCGGTCTTTGTGGACAACTACGGCCAACGCGGTCTCGATATCGCTTTCTATTCGCCTCGGTCCCGATATCACACAGAAGAGGATGATGCGCGGCACACGTCAGTCGACAGCATCTGGCACATGTTATCAGCTGCTCTCGCCACGACCGAGTCCTTGGCAAGGACCACCAGCACCCAGTTCAACGGTCCGCGCTCTGATGGCAGAAAAGATCTGGTTCAGAGTGGCCGCCCAACGGCTGGTGTTTGGTTTGATTGGTATGGCAGTAGCTGGTCCGCGTTTGCGCTTAGAGGGCTATTTGCGTGGACTCTCACCCTTCTTATTACTACGCCACTTGTTCTTTTTGTGGTGACATATCTGCTGGTTCGCGATGACAAATGGTACTTCTTTGCTACCAAGGTTGATTCTACTGTAGGAGACGGTGAAGAAACCGTGTCATTTGGCGGATGGAAAGGATTCGTCCGATTTCCGTTTGCTCTAGTCGTTGCCACTGCCTTGACAATTGGGTCGGTGTTTTTGCTGGCCAAGGTCAATCCATTGATTATTTACAGCAGTGAATATTCTGTGTAAGTGTTCCGCGGTTAATTTCTAGGCAGAACGATTTTACTTACTCTCTGCAGGTGGGCCATGATGATTTCATTGTTTTACTTTGTGTCGTGGCTTTTGCTTCGTGGGGCTCACTTTGTGCGCCCAAGTGCTCTTCAACGGGGCTTTACGCTGATCTGGCTCTTCATCATTACTTGGGTTCTCTCAGTTTTCGCAGCCGTTGCTGAGGATCGCATGAATATGGGTGCTGTATACCCTTTGGCATTCCTCCACACCTTCGCCTTTGCAGCAGTCTTGATTTCACTCTTGGAACAATATGCACTTCCGGCCAAGCAAGATTTTGCGCGACAAGTCAGCGGCGAAAACGAAGAGGAAGAGGAACAAGAACAAGAACAAGAGAACCTATTAGGTGATGGCGGTAACGACGCTAACCAGCAAAATAACGAGGAGAGAGGGGACACAGATATTGCTGCTACTCCAACAGAAACGACACCTCTCAGGGCTGGCGAAGAAGGTCACGGATCTAGCGAGCAGACCACCACATTTGCCAACACATATAGGAGACCCGTGCCAGAAACTAGAGTTGAGACTCGTAGCGGCAACAACAGAAAACGCAGCTTTCCGCCTTACGAAAACGAGCAAGCTTGGTCCGGTCGACTTCCCACCTGGACCTGGTTTATCCAACTCCTTCTACTCGTTCCCCTATATGTGACTGTGCTCGGCAATCTGGCACTGGTACAAACCACATCCATAGGCAAGACCGGAACAGATGGTAGCAGCTTACTTGTTCCGCTGATGGGGGTTGGCATCTTAGCAATCCTCCTTCTCCTGCCACTCACGCCGTTTATCCATCGCGTCAGCCACCACGTCCCGCTCTTCCTTCTCCTCGTATTTATCGGAACGCTTATCTACAACTTGACCGCCTTCCCATTCTCCGACAACAATCGTTTCAAGTTTTACTTCAAGCAAGTTGTCGACTTGGATAAAGGCTCCAATGTTGTCACCCTCAATGGGTTGGAAGAATTTGTACGCCCTGTCATTAGCTCCATACCCACGCCAGCTGGCCAACGAATTCACTGCGATGAAGACCCCTTTCTCTCAAACTTGAGGAATTGCCAGTATGACGCGTCTCTCTTACCTCCGGACGTGGCGGATGGTGAGGAGTTGGAAAGCCTGATATCCATCGAAGCGTCGAAATCCAAAAATGGAAAAACAATCCTCGTGAGCCTTGATGCGTTGAACACTCGCGTCTGCTATCTCGATACCTCGTTCCCAATCTTTGGCTTTTCGGTTCACGGTGGCGCAAAGCGCGATGACCGGTTCGGCTCATTCCCACCTGAAGGGCTTCAACAGATTCAACTTTGGAGGCGTGATTGGGAAAAGGGTTGGAATGTTACCCTTCACTTGGGTGGGCATGTGCTTCCCATGAACCAGGATAGTGTAGAAGCCACGGAGGTCGACGAAGTAGATGATGACACCAGCGGCGGAGAACTAAAACGAAGAGCAGCTAAGGAACTTATCGTGACGGCGAGATGTGCCTGGTCCGATGCCAACAGTGCAAACACGATCCCGGCATTCCACGAGGTGAAGCAGTTCATGCCTAGGTGGGCGGTTGTCGCGAAAAAAACTGTTGGTCTCGTGGAAATCACCAAGAAGATCAAGGTGGCGTAATCCGCGCGTAAGAGAAGAGGAAAGTTGGCACGTTTAGTGTGTAGGGAACATAATCACTTGTAGTAGTAGTCATTGCTCGAATATCAGTACGTTGTATGAATCGGACGCATTTTGCGGGTGCAAAGACGCAGTGTCTCATTTACGCCCTCATGCCTCTATATTCCTGTCCGCAATCGCCAATCTTCTGATAGACGGCATGCAGCTTCTCGCCGTTGTGGCCATGCGCAAAGGCATCAATGGCCATGATGTCGGCATTGCTCAAGTTCCATCCAAACACGTGGAGCGCATCGGCGCAGCGATCCGACACGCCTAGTCTCGTCCCGACGAGGACGGCACCCACGGACGGCTGCTGCAACACCCACCGGCTCGCGACGTCGGCAATGCTCACGCTGTACTTTGTCGCGAGGAGAGACAGCGTGCCCAGAAGGGACTGGAACTCCTGCCACGTGCCCCAGTGGTTGATCATGTCGAGGTACTTGCGCTGCGACGGGTTGAGAGGGTTCGAGGGCGAGTATATGTCTGGCGGTGGTTGGTTCAGCCACTTCTCCGTTAGGAGGCCGCCGCACTTTTTTGGGGGGAGAGGGAGGACGTTAGCTGCCCGTTGTTTCTGACGAGGCTTGGTCTTCTTTGTGAGGGACGTTGCCCTGTTGCTTTTTGGGCGGGGGGGCTGAGGAACGCACCAGGGAGCCGTAGGTGAGGAGTTTGAGGTTGTACCGCTCGCAGACTTGCGTCATGCCCATCAGGGGGCGGGTGTCGATGGGCGAGAACTGCTTCTGTCAGCTGGATCGTTTTCCTGTAGATGGGACGGAAACGGAGCATGGTAGTAGTGCAGGGGCGCGTACTTGTACTTGGTTCGATACGATGCCCACCTCGCCCGTCTTGTCTATCAGATACCTGCATATCTCGTCGGTGTGCTCTGCGTCGAAATTGCACAGGCCCACGGCGGACAGGTACTCGGGGTGGGATTTCGTGATGCCGATGAGTTCGTGGAGTATCTGGAGGTATTCTTTTGCTTCGTACTAGACGTCGGTGAACACGGCGGTTTGGCTTTCGGGGGAAAAAGGGGGGAGAAGGAGAACAGACGTACGTCGTACCAGTGGAATTGGAGCAAGTCTACGCGCCCGCCTAGACGCCTGCAGCGCTCTCTCACGGCCGCCAGGACGTACTCTGTTGTGACGGGCGTGTTGAGCGGCTTGAAGACGCACCACTTTGTGGCGGCGTATAGTTCGGCCTGTGTCGCCGCGGGGAGTCTGTTGCGGAAATCGCCGTAGACGAGTTCCGCATCCCCCTGGTTACAGCGTCAGGAACAAAGGGAGACCAAAAAAAAAAGACGTGGGCGGTTGGGAATTCTCGCACGTACGTAGTGGTCGGCCATGTCGGCGGCGACCAAGCCCGCCTCGACCAGCTTCACGAGCTTACGCTGCTGCTGGTGCCAGTTGCCGACCCCGAAGGCGGGCGAGGACAGCTGCCAGAGGCCGTTGAAGAGGCGTGGCAAGCGTCTGTTTCCCAGGGTGAACTTCTCAACGGCCCCGGCGGGCGGCGAGGCGAGGTGGATGATGCGGTCCCCGTGGGTGGACGACGCCTGTTGGATGGCGGCGGCGTCGGCGAAGAAGAGCTGCAGCGTGTCCCTGGCCTGTCTCTCCGCGCGGCCGAAGGGGTACTCGAGCCTCGAGCTGGCGCAGTACGTCTGGCAGGATGCGAAGCTGGCCAGCAGCGCTTGCAGGTCTTCCTTGAGCTTGGTGCTCTTCTCGGGCGCCGACTCTTTGAGCGCCTGCATGGCCTGGACGGTGTCGCCGGCGAACTTGTCCACGTTCTGGGAGAGGGGGGATTGGGCCGTCCATGAGGCGCGCGCTTGGATGACGGAGTGGACAAAGTGTGTCAAGCTGATGGGCGGGCAGGTTAGGCATTTGATGGTCGAGGAAGAGAAGCAGAAGGGGGGACGTACTAGGTGAGGGATTCGCTGGCGAGCTTCGACGAGAACAGGCATCTCGTGAGGGCAAGATACTCGATGCATTCTGGGGAGCATGTGTCGTGGGCTGGAAACAGCTTGGCGGCCTCTGTGAGCTCGGGCGGTGTTTCTTGGAGGCGCGAACGGGCGTGTTCGACGAAGAGTTTCTGGATGCCGGGGCCTTGGGAGAGGAGCGCCCGGAGAGACGAACGGAGGTAGGCGGGCGGCACTGCTTGGATTTAGCTTTGCGGGCTTGTTGTACGAGGTGGGCTTGGTCCATGTTGGTTACGGTTTGATATGAGGACATCGTCCAATACGTTCCTGCGGCCGCCGAAGGTCAGTTGAACTTGCGAGAGTGTGGTGAGACAAGGGGAGGAGACGGCGCTGACTTACACGTGGCCGCCCATATTATTCTCAAGAGGCTGCTTCAAGGGGAGGCAAGGTTGAGGATTTCTTGTTTACGGATTAGCCCGTTGGATAGACTGTTTCTGAGAACAGGGAGCCAGGCGCATGTCGTGTGGTGCACATGCCGGATGTGCGATTCCCTCCCCGCATGAGGGGGGTTTGCGCCATCGGCTGTCTGACATGAGCTACTACTCCGTCGTCTTGGTCATCTTGCATCCTGGTGCTACATGACTACATGATACAACTTGGCTGGGGAGACACTGGTTCGTGGGAGGAATCCGACTTTGCCGTAAAAATGGCCGAAACTCCAAGCAAAAAATAAGAGGACATTATACGGAGTACGGAGTACCGTTGCCCCAAAACCGCCTCGGCTCGCCCCACAACTCCAGGCTCAACGACATCTCACAGCGACGGCCGACCTTGGCCGTTTGAAACCTCGTCCCATCACACCGCGGCATCAGCAGCCATGCTGTCGTCCATATGGAAGCCCTCGGAGCAGCTCCGCGGCGCCGAAAGCCGCGCGCTCATCTACTTCGTCTGCGGCAACCCCGGCCTCATCGGCTTCTACGTCGACTTCCTCGACGCCCTGCGCAACCTCCTCGACACCTCCCAGTCCGCCACGGCCTACGACATCTACGGCCGCAACCTCGCCGGCTTCTGCGACCATGAGCACGAGCCCTTCACGCCGGACAACCCGCCCTTCGACGTCGACGGCCAGGTGGACGCCATCTACCAAGACGTCGCCTCGCGCCGCGTCAGCACCGAGGACGGCAGCGGCAGCGGCAGCGGCAGCGACAGGCCGTACGACTTTGTCGTCCTCATGGGCCACTCCATCGGCGCCTACATCGCCGTCGAGATCTTCCACAGACACATGCAGGACCCCGGCCGCGCGCCGCACCTCCGTCTCCGCCACGGATTCCTCCTCTTCCCCACCATTGCGTCGCTCGCGCTGTCGCAGAGCGGCACGCGCATCAACTACATGCGGAGCCTGCCCACCATGGAGACGCACTTTGTCACCTACGCCAAGGCTCTCCTGGGCCTCTTCCCGCAGGGGACGCTGCGCTGGATCATCCAAAACGCCATGGGCTTCTCGCCGCCCGCCGCCGACGTGACGGCCGAGTGGCTCAAGAGCAGGGACGGCGTGCTGCAGGCGCTGCACATGGGCAAGTCGGAGCTCGACACCATCTTCGAGGACAAGTGGGACGACGAGCTGTGGGAGGTGTCTGCCTCGGCGGCGGAGCTGCCCGCGCCAAGGTTCTTCATGTTTTACGGCCGGGAGGACCACTGGGTTGCGAACCATGTGCGGGACGAGTTTATCGAGCGGAGGCGCCGGGCTGGTGAGAAGGGTGGCCGGACGAGCATTACGGTTGACGAGGGGAATATCCAGCATGCGTTTTGCACCAAGGAGCGTAGGTGGATTTTTAAAAATTCATGTAAAGGGTCTGTTGTGTTGTGCTAATGATGTTTTCTTGCAGATACCAGTTGGACTATTGCGAGAAAGGTGCATGCGTGGGTGGTGGAAATTGATCGAGCTGGTGCGGTGAAATAGCGTTGGCCTGAGTGAGCGCGTATTTATATTCTTTGGTGTGGCGCTGTTTTAAAATCATAAGCATTTATTGAGGATAGAATTTTTGTACAGCTGTATATTCTTTAGACGAGAATCGCTTGTTGTTGGCGAAGAGAGGCGAGCGATGGGACGGTAGGCATACCTCGACGTGGGCCATGTTATCTTGATTCTGCGTGAAATGAGGTAACACTTTGATGGAAAGTAGAAGCAGGGAATGTCGAGGTCCGGAAAAGACATAGATTACAGGGAAGCAAACTCTACAATGTTATTCTGTGTGTATTTGATTGGGTGAGAAACCACCGCATCATCTCCGCGATCAACAACAAAGCAGTGTTACGGAGTATCCCGCCCAAGGAGTTCCAAGCCAGGATTCTGATAGACACATGATTCTACAGAACAGACGCATGAAAAGCGTCGAGAAGTCACTGATTTGATCCGGGGCGTCTTGGCCAGTAATGGTATATTCACATTCACCTCGTGTTGGAATAGGAATTCATCGAGTGCAAAATCAAGTTGGCTTGCGGACGATATCACAGAGTAGAAGAAGTTAAAGAATGAGAAGAGTCGAGTGACGGAAAGAAGAGATCACGGGACGGGTTGCTAATGGCCTTGATGCGGCACAAGCCGCCTGCGCTCCATCATTGATGTCTGTTGACGATTGTAGGCGCGCGTAGTTTGGAGAATTAGCCGCTGATAAAGTTTTCACCCAGCAGTAACCATTTTTCACTGCCGTCACAGATTGAAAAGGGCGATTTCGTGCTAGGAATAGTTTCATAGAATCATAGCCAAGGCCGGTAGCCTGAAATGGATTTAGATATTGGGAATAACCGGGGTTGCTCCTGGAGACAGCGACATACATACGGAAGACATCATGGACCACTCAATCGACCATGTCCATCAGCGTGTCACGGTCCACGGATCAGGGAAGCAGGCAGGCTTTGGGAGGGGTCAATCCGCAAATAGTCAAGCATCCTCACTGTTTGCCGAAAAAAAGACTCTGCTGAAGCTGCGAAATGCTACTAGCTGCGAGGCCATCCCTCAAGCAACGCGCTACCCTACCGTAGTGGTGTAGCATCGTCTTGCCAGTTCATCGCTTAGTGCGTGCAGGTCAATTGTCATTGCAAGAGGCTCTGGGCCAAGCTCCAGACTACCGGCGCTAGTGCCTAGTCTGGCCCGACAATGTTCAAGGTTCCGCCCACGCCCCCTCCACAACAAGTGTCTGCAGAACAAGTCGATCTCAACCCGCCAACCCGCCAACCCGCCAACCTGACAGGAGATTTTGGCAGATTAACACGCCGCACGCCACACGGAAGCAGGGACCCGACAGACCCTGTGGCGCGGCGCTGGATTCGAGGTCCTCTCAGCTTCCACGTACCATCGACGGCTTATGTTGGAGAATCCCAAAGGGCCTACCCAACTCTCCTCAATCCAAGAGGTAATGGAAACACGGCCACAGAAGCAGGCATACGTAGTAGGTCAAAACCAGTCACGCAACTCGTCACGGACGCGGTAGAACCCCACGCAGAGTGACTGTTTCTGTCCACTCTGCGCACAAAGCGTCTGCACGTCACGCTAGCAGAAACTATCATGGACCATTTCTTTCTCTCCTGCTTCAGATTATCCACCCCCACGAACGTGGTGGCAAAACCATGCCAAAACGAAAAGGACAACTCGACGATAGCTCGAGACACCTGCTCCGTACTCCGTAGTCATGACGGAGTTGAGCTAAAAAGGCTCTGACCATTTCCGCCGATTCCAGCGCGCAACTAGCCCAGAGTCGTCAATTGGTCTAGTCCTTTCGGGGTCCCGAAGCCACCCTTTATTCTTCCCCTGCTTCCCCACGTCAAAAAAGTGTGGGCTTCAAAAAAACAGACATGGATGCTTTCTTCTACAGCACTTTCCATGGAAACCGTACGTTCTCTACTATGCACTACTACTAGTATCAATGCCGAAACTAACCTCCAGTTGGGAGCTTGCACGACAGAAACCGTCCAAGGGCGTGGATTAAACAAGGAACGGCAGTTCACGCGAGCGCCTATCCTGATGCGTTAATCCCCTGTTCTAAACCATGCCCTTCATCGGCGGCGGAATCGATCGAATGCCCAAGCTTTCCTTCGGGGGGTCATGAATTGAGACGCGGGCTCTCATTCATGATTCATCGTTGTGCTTGGGAGCTCCAGTGACCAGAACGTATATTGTGTCTGGTCGTTTCGGCACATCATGAGTTCCAGTTAACCCCCCACATCTGTCGCGGTGTCAATATAGATGCATGTACGATGATAGGCCCTGTATCGTATTAGAGTTGGCACTGATGGCAGCGCCAAGGGGCGAAAAAAGTTTAATCAACCCGCTGGCGTCGGCGTCTAGGCAAGCATTGCAGTTCGAAGGCGTGAACGATGCACCCCCGGCGAATCTGGCCATGGGTGGTGGTTGGCCCGTCTTGGCGCTGTCAGATCAGATTGCCGGGCTCAACTGCTTCCAGGGGGCAGTTAGTCGTCTGGGTCATCATGGACAACAACATCTCCGTCCAATGCGTGGAATGCAGAAATGGTTTGCAATACAATGATGCGGTCCCTCGTCACTCAATTCCGGGCACTTTCAAGTCACATGGGGCCAAGATGATGAATATCAAGTCGAAGCACAGAGGCTCATTAGCATTACCCAGATAACTGGTTGTTTTATTTCGAGCGAGTACACGACCCCTCAGTAAAAGGGGATTTTTAAAGACCCATCCACAGTATTTTGCAATATGCTTCATCCTTGACAGCGGTCCCCAGGATGTATACACATCTCCCATTAGCTTGATCCCGTGATACTTCAAGGTCCACCTTTGATCGTGTCACCCAGATCCCCGCGGATGAAGCTTCTTAGAGAGCCAGGGCACCGATGGCGAGCATGGCAAGGCCGCCAATGGGGGCGAGGCCAGCGGCACCAGCGGTGACGGGAGTAGACGGGGCGGGAGGAGCGGTGCCGTTGGAGGCAGGGCTGGAAGGGGTGGCAGGGCAGGGCTGGCTGGCCATGGTGGCATGGCACTCGGTATCACCAGCGGCCTCGGACTCAGAAGGCTCGGCCATCTCGGTAGGATGAGCCTCAGTCATCTGGGTGGCCATCTCGGTAGGGTCAGCAGCAGAGGAAGCAGCCTCGGAGCTTCCACCGTCGGCATTTCCAGCGCAGAGGTTCGTGGTAGCCGGAAGAACCTTGTCTACGAGTCGGTCCTGTTAGTCATGGTGGTTTTCCATGTCAAGCTTCAGTAGGTAGGACGAAGACATCAAACTTACTGACGGCCGTTTCGGTGCCACATTGTTCAATAACGCAAGGGGTAGCAGCACCCTGGATCGTGGAGAAGTTTTCCTTCTTGCAGATGCACTTCAAGTCGGTCCCTTCGCAGTGGGTGGACAAAACAGCTCTCTGAATGCAGGACAAGGCGCAAGAGGGAATATCACTGATGCTCTGAGCCGAGACCAGGGCGGCCATGGAGATAGCAGCGACAGCAGTGAACTTCATTTTGAAGGTATTGAGAGGGTTTTTTTGAGGTTGGTGGTGTACGAAAACAACGAGTGAATCGAGGATACTAAGCGAATGGATGGATGGAGGAGAGGCAGAGGGGAGGGAACAGATGGGAAACCGGGGACGGGATCGTCTGCTTTAAGTAGATGAAGGACGCAGCCAAGGTCTCTTTCACTTGACAACTGGGGGAGGGAGAGGATACGGCAGAATACTAGAAGCTTTCCATCGGCTTCAATGGCACTTGCATCAAAGGGGCTGGCTCTCCACCAATATCTCTCCAGCCAGCCCGTATTGTACGAGCGGGCTGGGGGCGTCCTCCACACCCCTCCCTCTGTAACTATGTAAGTTACTATGATGCGCATGAAATCTTTGTTTCCGCTCCGGGGTAAAGGCGAGATGGATCATGGCTCCAACTACGGTTGATCGGCCGCTGGCCCCGGGTTTGGGGGAAGAAGGAAGAAGGGGGTGTATGCAGGTAGTGGAGAAGCCATTGAGGTCGGTGTGGAAACGCAAAGCAAAGCAGTGAGGGAGTGACATGATGATGCCCGGCCATGTTGGCTTCTTGCCGGGTGCTGGACTTGGTGGAGGTGATGCTAACTACATCTAATATTGGCGCAGCGTGACCGAGAGAGGCCGACGATCCGGCGAGACGAACACCGGCGAACAAGACAGACCCGGCTTTGGCGTGGCGCAGAAACATACATTCATGCTGGAAACGGAGCTCGGGCAAAACTGGCACTTGCGGAAAGCGATACGCTTCTGTTGTCGTCGCGACATTGGCAGGGTTTGACGGTTGAGGTTCGTTGAGTGAAGAGGGTTACAGCGCGCCGCACTGGATAGAGGGCGGACAGGCTACCGAACTCACGAAACTTGCTTTGCTCATCAAGAATGCGATTTATTGTCGTTGCCCATAGCTTTTCTGCAATGCCACACGGCTCGGGAGCCCAGGCACAGCAGCGGCACGAAGCCGGGAGGGGTTCGAGGCCACGGAGAGGTTTCGAGGAACAAGCTTTCCAAGAAGCCATCGAATGATGCCTATGAACCGTTACAGTCGGCAATGACGGTCGAGAGTAGCCAGATGCGGTCGCTGGATGCAGTTGTATCTACTGGAAGATGACCTGTACATGAATGGATCAAATGCAATGCAACTATCCGCTTGCTGCACACGCCCCCTGGCGCAAGTGCTGTTGAAGTCGATTTTGAACCGTACTTGCTCCCAATCCAGTATCATGCCAATCGGTGCCTTTTGCAGTGGCCAGCCAGCCCGGATGGCGTCTAGTCGATACAACTTCACCTCTTGCACTAGTTGACATGCCCAGTACAGCCATTGCCACAATCTATGCGCGGCTTGGCCGAGACATGCCTGCATCTTCTGGTCAGGTCCATGGAACTCGGCTTCCGCATGTCACGCCCTGGCCATCACATAAGCGGTGCTGCCAGACGGCAAAAAAGTAGCATGCCATGCTGGCCTTTCAGAAATGATGCTACAAGGCGTCCCCAGCTCGCTCCAAGTCAAAGTGTAGAACATCTTGTCCACATTGCTAGCTAGACATGGCCCACGCAATACTACGATCCATGGCATTCCACGACATGCGAGCCCACATGGACCATTGCTAGCTGAAGTTAAAGGGTCTCTTGGAATTCGCGCATCTCTGCAAACATCCCCAAAACATCAGTTGAGGCGCGGCGCTACAGGCAAGTCGTCCAGGAAACACGAATATCACGAGACCTGCTCCGGCGTGCGATACTTGCAAGACAAGAGTATAGTCTAGAGTCTCCCTTTTTCACCCTTGCATTGCCCTCCATGTGCAAAACTGCAGAACCGATGCCCGGCCGAGCCCGCCAACTCCTCTCGAAAAAAAAAAAAGACAAATGGTCAATCCAAACGTCGGCCAAGAAAATATAAACGTGCTCTCCGTTTTGCCTGCTAAAATGAAAAAAAAAAAGGATTCCCAGACCCCCAGCGTCACTTGTTTAAACTATCCCCCCGAACGCCCACGCCTTCAATGACTGATGGACGACCCCTTGCTTGTACGGATATACCCAGCTTGTCCGGAAGATCTCCTCACGCCCATCTTTCGTAGTCGGGAAAGTAACAGCTGTGAATCCTTTCCGCATAGTCAATTATCGTAGGGTAGCTTTGCACAATCTTGGCCGTGGCAGGGGCACTATAAAAAAAAGCGGTTTAGCAAAACGTCCCAGAGGAAGAAATGCTCCAGGCACCAGGACAATTTAAAAAAAAAAAAAAATCCACTCACGCGGTGCAGACCAGAGCGCCAGCAATGAAGCCGTAAAGAGTCGCATCAGCCTCGGTGGGCTCATCACCGCCCAGCACCCAAAACGGCGCGTCGTCGTCGTTTGTCCTTGTCCGCCGGCGACTCGCCGTCTTGACCGACTCCGTCAGCAGGGCGTTGACGCCGTCCCAGGCCTCCTCCGCGAGCAGGCGCACCTCGTCGTCCGCCAGGCGCCCCGTGCCCTGCTGGTACAGGCCGCCGAGGACGGCGCGGCGCGCCAGCCAGCCGGCGACGAGGTGCAGCGGCCACGGCACATGCGCGAGGACGTGGTCGCGCATCTCGGCGTAGTTGTCGCGCCACTTCTCGCGCGCCCCGTAGAAGTAGACCTTGTCCTCGAGCAGGGCGCGGATGGCGAGGTCGTGGGCGCGCTGGGCGGGCGGCAGCCCGGCGTTGAGGTCGGGCAGCGCGCCGGCCGCGACGAGGCTGCGTATGATGAGCGTCGAGTCGCCCGTTGCGACTGGCGCGCCGGAGTCGGGGGCGGCGACCTCGACGTAGGGTATTTTTCCTTTGGGCCCGGACCGGGGAGAGCCCCCGCCCAGGTGGTACGGGACGCGGCCGAAGCGCAGCCTGGCTTCGAGCTTTGTGACGAACGGGGACCAGACGTAGGCGTTGGTGGGCGGCGAGCCGCGGAACACGGTGAGCTGGTGGGCGCTGTCGGGGGAGGGCATGTTTCTCGTAGTCGGGGCGCAATGGTGGTGAGGGCCGTGGCGCGTTGCTCTGGGTGTGAGCGTGTGTCTGTTGGCTTGGTGATCGTGAGGTTGTCGTGGGTGGTTGACTTGGGCCGTTTGCGCGGGGAGCTGCCAGTTGACCAGTTGACGTCACAGGTGCGCGCGGCTGTCAGGTGTCAGCCGCAGCGATGCTTTGACACATGCGTGAAACAGAAATAGTAGTCAGTTAATCTGCAGCCTCAACATAGCTGGTTGACGGATTACGATAAAAAACGCCGTTTTCCCACGTATAAAATTACTCTTCATCACACGTCTTCATAACACGTCTTCATCACACGTTGACCATCTGTTCGGTGACGAATTCCTGGCAAAAACCACCGGTCGACCGCATGCAGGGAAAGCAGGGACTGGACGAGGGTAAAGGGCCGCCACGCCCTGGACCCTGTCGGGCGGATCGCCCGGTTGATGGAACAATGCAATTCCTAAAATTGACTTGTCAGAAAAAGACTCTCGAGGAAACCAAAATATCTGCATTGAGTCATACCGAGGACTTATGCGCTCAAATTCGGTGACAGTCAACCTGTCGGCTATGGCATTTCACAATCTGGTGGGGCAATAGCCGGCGTCAAATACCGTTTCTGACGCAGACAGCTGCACCAACTGCATGTTGCCGATGTGAAAAAACCCCACATTTGCCGTCGCTCCGCCGGGGCAGCCGTTGATCTTGCTTGACTGGGCAGGGGATTGTGTCCCTTTCAAACATGAAATAAATGAGTAAATTCATATGTTTTTTCTTAAAAAAAGATGGCCGAATTGATCGTTTTATTGATACTTTGGAGAGCAGGAAACATGAAGAAAGATGGAAAGGCTGAGCCCGAGTTTGTCTTGAAAGAAACAACATGGCTGCCAAGGCCCCAAGTGTGCGGTTTATGCTTTTCCTGGGTGGGGCAGCAGAGAGCGGGGACGACGAGGCCAAGATACGAGCTCGGTGGGAATATTCTGCGGGAACAGCAGTGCCTCATCTGGGATGAGATGCCAGTGGCTATTATTAATGCAAATTTTAATTTTAACACATCAAACTTGTATATATAAGTAGTGTCCAGAGCCCTGAACGTGGTAGCTTCAACCAGACACATTATCATCTACGCTACTCACCAGTTGACCTTTTACGCTCCCCCTCGTCTTCGATTGAACCCGCAACCATCATCAGCTGAGTGGGAAAAAAAAGGCCCAGGAACAAGGACACAATGGCGAGCAAGTCGTTCAACGTCGGCGTCATCGGCTACGGGTGAGTTCCCAACTCAGCGCCTGAAGCGCCAGAGCTGACAGCGAGGGGCAACGAAGCATGTCGGCCAAGATCTTCCACATCCCCTTCATCGCGACGACGCCGCAGCTCAAGCTTCACAGCATCGTGCAGCGAACCCCGCGAGACGGCAACTCGGCGCCGCAGGACCACCCGTCGGCCAGGCACTACACCGACGCCAAGCAGCTGCTCGCAGACGGCGAGGTGGACGTGGTGGTGGTGACGACGCCGCCCGACACGCACTTTGCGCTCACCAAGGCGGCGCTCGAGGCGGGCAAGCACGTCCTCACCGAGAAGCCGTTTGTGCCCACAGCTGCCGAGGCCGAGCAGCTCATGGCCCTGGCCCGGCAGCGCGGGCGCCTCGTGTGCGTGTACCAGAACCGGCGGTGGGACACGGACTTCCTGGTCGTCAAGCACCTCGTGGCCCACGACGTGGTCGGGCGCGTCGTCGAGCTCGACTCGCACTTTGACCGGTACCGCGCCGCGCCGCCGACCAACTGGAAGGGCGCGCTGGGCATCCCCTCGGGCGGCAGCGCGCTGTTCGACCTGGGCGCCCACCTCGTCGACCAGGCCTACGTGCTGTTCGGCATGCCGCGCGCCGTCCACGGCCGCCTGCTGGCCCAGCGCTCCGGCGCCGCCGACCTGTTCAACCCGGACGCCGTCGCCGCCGAGCTGACCTACCCGGACGGCAAGCTGGTCCACGTCCGCATCAGCTCCCTCAGCGCCGAGACCGACCAGCCGCGCTTCTGGCTGCGCGGCGCCCGGGGCAGCTTCCGCAAGCGCGGCCTCGACCCCCAGGAGGACCGCCTCAAGGCCGGCGTCGCGCCCTCCGCGCCCGGCTTTGGCCGCGAGGACCCGGACTCGATGCGCCTCGTCCTCGTCGGCGAAGACGGCGCCCCCCGCGAGGCCAAGGTGCCCGACCTCGAGCCCGAGACCTACGCCGCCTTCTATGCCGCCTTTGGGAGGGCCCTCGAGACCGGCCGCGACGAGGACCTCCCCGTCAAGCCTTCCGAGGCGCGGGACGTGCTGCGCATCCTCGAGGCCGTGGTGGAGAGCGCAAAGACTGGCAGGGACGTGGTATTTGCTTGAAGACGCGGACGAACACTGCGCGACTTTCAGGGGGCTGATACGCGAGGGGGAAACGCAATAATACTGCTCATCGACCCTACTCCACGTCCGGGCTCTTCTCTGTACATCGTGTGCTGGCCGTCATGCAGTCACACTAAAAAAAAAAAAAGGTCAATGTGCACGAATCAGACTGCCGCCTGGTACCTCTTATTATAGCATCCCGTCCAACCGTACAGTACATGCGTGTATGCTGGTATTTTGATGCAGCCGTTTAGCCAAGACCCTGACCTCTTGCTTCAATTCTAGACCCAAAAAAAAAGTAAAAACTCCAATCCTATTCCAACAATATCTTTTATAAAAATGAAATTCCTCAAGATTCTACAAATTAAACGCCGTAACAGCCATAACCACCAGCCCCACGGTTGTCATCATCGCGCTCAGCTCCTGACCAGCAGCACCCGAGTTCTTGGAGAGGATGGGCTTGCCATAGAGACTCGGCACATACGGCGCGGGCTTCGTCTCGTTGAGCGTCCCATTCCAGCAGTAGTTGGCAAAGCACTGCCTACACTTGTCAGGCACAGCCGTCCTGGTGCGCTCGAAGCTGCGGGCGAGCATAGCGCAGCCGACGCACACGGCCCAGTCGGGGTCGCGCGTGCTGTTGAGCTGCGTGGCTACCGCCCAGCCGTTTTGCACAATGGCGTCGCGCTCGTCCGACTTGATGGCCATTTGAAAGGTGGATATGTTGGACTCGTAGATGTACGGGTAGTTGGGGATGTAGACGATGAGCGGCGACGGCGCGGTGAGGTTGGACGAGTCGCAGCCGAAGAAGGCGGGCCTCGAGTTGAGGCCCAGGTTGACAAAGGTGTCCTTGCCCGGGACGGCGGGGAACCCTGTCCCGTTGGCAACGGAGGGTTGCAGAGAGCGCTCGTAGGTGGCGATGGCGGACGCTCCGTCCGGCCAGCTGCTGTCCGTGTCGGCGGAGGAATCGATTGAAAACACCACGTCGACGCGTCTCTCGCGGAACAGGTGCGGGTGGTAGGGGACGTTTTGCAGATCCTCCCCGCCGTCGACGAGGGTGAGACGGGTCTCGTTGGCGCTGGGATTCTTGGCCGTGTTCCAGCCCTTGAAAGGGTTGGGGGTCCAGTCTGCAATGTCATTGCTCTCGTCGCCCAGGGCATTCAGGAAGGTTGTTAGAGCGTCAACGACGAACTTGGGAATGTCTTCGGGGACGTATCTGCTGTTTCCGTCCTTGATATACATGATAATCTGGTTGAATAAACTGCTCGAGGTGCCCATGATGAACCCGGCATTATCGAAGCCAACAATACACTTTTGGTTGCCGGGAATCGAGCCATTGGTGAAGTTGGAGCCGACATACTGAAGAGGCACGAATCCCTGGAGCGAGGGGTCAAAGGAACCAAACTCCCAGGGGGTGAACTCGTAGATGGTTGAGTTTGACGCGATAATCTTTTGGCCGGGGGCGCGACCGTCGGCAACAATCAAGGGAAGCGGGTTCTTGCCGGATGAGAAGTCCGGGTCGTTTGCGATGGAAGAGTAGGTAAACCCCGGACCGCCGTTGGTGGCATTGATGAGCTGATATGCAAGCATGCGACCCCAGTAATCAGTAATGGACCGATCGAAACCTGCCTTGTCCTTGGCATCCACATCGTCCAGGATCTCGCTGTAATACTGTAGCAGGCTGTATTGCTCGGGACCTGCGGGTTCAGCAAGATCAGCATGTGACTTTGACACATGGAATGACGGGGTCTGAATGTCGTCTTGTCCGCCCTCCCCCCTTACCTTTGAGGATGGAATCGTCAAACTGCCAGATTTGCGGCGCGTTGACGGCGTCCTGGACCGAAGTGAAGTTGTTGGTGTACATGCTGCCCACCAGCCAGCTCCCGCCAGACAGACCAGAGATGTACGTCGCACTCTGAAGCAGGCCGCCCAAGTTGCCCTTTGTCTGACTGCCAGTCGAGCGGCTGTCCCAGGCGGCAACGGCACCGGCACCGTTCAGCATGGCGCGGTAACCGCCTCCGGAGACGGCCAGCCCAATGTTTGGCAGCGCGGTCGGGTCGCTGGCGGCATTCTTGAGGTAGGCATCGCTGTCGAAGTCGGGGATGGCAATGCGCTTCAGGAGCTCGCGGATGGGGGCGACGGTTTCGTTTCGGCGCTTGGGGAGCCATTCCCTCTCCTGGGACGACAAGCCGCCGCCGTCTCGCACTTTCGGGCGGCTCGTGGGACAGTCGACGGGCGACGGCGCATAGCCCTTGGGCGACTGATCGGTGGCGCGTTGGATGAGGGACGTTTGGCGGACGACGACGTCGGCAGAACCCGAGGCATCGTGCTGGCGCGGGAGATCTGGTGCAAGGAGGGCAACGGCGTCAGCAACATGTGACGCATCTCGGGCCAGCGGTTGTGCGGTGGCTGCGCGTCGGGGCATCGAGAAAACACATTGAACCTACCTTGGACAACGGCCGCGGCTACTTGGGCGGGAGCCAGCGCCGTCGCCGCGGCCAGCAGGAGCGACAGTTGACTTCCAATGGCCATTTGTCCCCCGCCGGTGCTGCGCCGCAAAAGTCAATTGAACAGACAGACAGCCCGAGAGGCGACGAGGGAAAAAGAAGACGTCAATGAGAAATGAAAAAGACTGTGACGGGGAAGGGGGAGCGGACAGGCACAGCCAGTGGCAGCGCGAGCAACCTGAGGAATTAATACGACTCGGCTTGATACAAATACTAGTAGTCTGGTGCTCCGTACTCATGCGTAGCCAAGCGGACAAGCTCTAGTGTCTTGGCCGTTTGGTCTTGGCGCCGCTACCTCGATGGAATCGGACTCACTTCTCTGCACCATCCCCGCCTGGTCGTTGACGGACGGATGAGTCGGCCCCAGTTGGCCAGTCGGTTAGTTCAGTCAAACAAGAGCTCAATCAAAAAAAAAAATGACACCTCGATGCAGTCTCCTTGCGTGGCGGAGACTGAGAGAGAGAGAGAGCGAGGCCAGGCTCGGCCTCCGGACATGGCTGGCTGGCTGGCTGGACCAGGGGCTGTTGTAAGATTGATGCCAAAAAAAGGAACATGAAATGCTCCGCTAGTCAAGGATAGGTTATCGAATGCATAAACACAACCAACAAACCATTGTTGCCGATTACTACACAACCACTTGGTCCAGCGGAGGAGGCTATGCACATTGTCTTGGCGACGCAACACACGGACAAAAGACTCGTAACGTCTGTTGCACTTGGCACGTACCAGCCAACGCTTCTGTCTCAGCCCATGACGTACGATGCGCTGGTTTCAAAACACTGGCTGATACGGTGCAACCAGACTTGGCACCGGATTCCCTGTGCCCAAGTAGCTGACATGCTGAGGGCAACTGTCACGAAACATGTGTACAGCAGCTGCAAGTCTACAGCACACACGTATCCATCAGGACGAATCCCTTGTTCGTACTGCCATGGCAGCGAGAGCTGGCGTAGGAAATGCCCATTGCGCACCACGCCAAAAACACTTGACCAGACACTTCGACTGAGTACAGAGTAGTTATTAGGTTGGCCAGTGCCATTTGCTGCATTACCCTTCCCATCCCTGCCGTCAGCCCTTTGCCCAGCCAAACCAATTGCACCGACGTCGAATGGGGTATCAATTTGCGCTGTGAACAAAGTCAACTCGCTATGCCAGACTCCAAACGTACCCAAGCGTCACTACTCAATATGAACCACCGTGCCGTATATAACCCCTGGCGTCGCCGCTTCACGCATCCTCTGATCCCCTAGTCAGAAAACTCATCGCTTGGCGGCTCCCTCCCAAACGGGTGGTTGAATTTCAACAACCCATTCAGTCCGCCTACCCACGGATCATCATCCTCTGTACGGATTATACATGGCACACCGCCATGCCACTCCTCTCCCGGCCCGGCTCTACCAACAAATTCGCCCTCGACGCGAATCTCTGAACCCGGCAAGACACCGGCGCATCGTTTCCCATCAATGTTAAGATCTAGCTCTCGACCTCTATTTTTTGGGCTCATTCGTAGCGTGACTTTGGTATCGAGGGGCAGCACAAGCGATCTGAAGCTCAGACTACACGGGGATATAGGCGTGATGAGGAGTGACTTGACAAGTGGGTGAACTATAGGCCCGCCGGCGCTGAGGCTGTATGCTGTTGAGCCAGTCGGCGTGCTGATGAGGATGCCGTCTGCAATGGTCTCTGTCAAAAAGTGGCCGTTTTGGTATATATCGACAATGGCCAAGTGCGGGTGAGATCCTCTGTGGACGGATATCTCGTTGATGGCACGGAGAGAGGGTGACGGCTCCTGGGTCCCGGCGATGCTGGATTTGTGCTGGTGGGCCAGCGTATCAGACACCTGGTGGTTAATGTTATCCCCCGAGCGATCAAAAATGTCGGCTTTGAGTCGGTGTCGCAGCAAAATCTTGGATGCCCGGCCAACACCCAGGCTCTTTCCGCGCAGCCTCTCCCACCCGGCAACATCAGCCGGGGTGTTGGCCGCCATACGCTCATCCCTCCCGTTGTCTATGGGCACAGCAGCATCCTGCACTGAAGCCACATCACTCCCACTCATGTACATTTCCCTCCATGCCTTCCTATACTCGCTGAAATTCCATTCCCCCAGAAAGCCCAGCGTGCCCATGCTAAAGGACAAGATTGGAGGCACGGAGCCATGCAGTTTGAACAAGCTCGCAGCTCGAAGGACCGTTCCGTCCCCACCAAAGGTGGCGATGACATCGATTTTGCCCGCAGTGTTGGACCGGCTATCGGATACGTAGATGGGGAACGGGAGGTGGTTGCGAATAACGGCCGCAATACGCGGCTCCACGACGAGATTGACGTCTGGGTAGTCTGTGCGAATGTGTTTGGCAAACTTGATGACAGACTCGGTCACATCAGGCGCGTAGAGCTTTTGCACAAGGAGTAGATTCCGAGGTGGCCGCGGCCAATGGAGCGACAACAGCGACGAGCCGGGTTTCGTGCTCTGAAGGTAGCGTGGGAAGGTGCGGTCGGGAAGCTCATTAACGCTATGGACTTGTGCGCTGCGTAGGGGGAGGCTCGTCGAGAAGTTGTGGCGTGAGCTGCATGTTGGTGTTTCTGACGTTGTTCGCCTTCGTGGCAGTGATGCTGGAGCTCTGGGTTGTCCACCGAGACCGGACTGGCGTGTGGAGGCGAGAAGCTCCTGCAGCAGCTGACGCCTGGACATATTCGCCTACCATTGTCTCCCTTTTCAAGAGACAAAGCAAAGGCAGGATCTGGAACTAGCCGCAGTCAACTCCTAGTTTGAACATGCAAACAATGGTGCGCCTCGCGGTGGCGGGATTGCAGTGCTAGGATTTAGCCTTGGAAGGCAGCCAGTTAGGCAAGCTGGTGGTTTACCAGTGGACATTTGCAGCTGGGTGGTTAACTGCGGGGACTGACCGCTTGCCTAATCTTGTCAGGCAACGGCAAGAAAGCTAGCATCGAGGAGGCGCCATTGAATTTAAACCAACAGCCAACATAGTGACACTTCGGGACACGAGAGAGAATATAACACGACTCATTTGCACCTCTTGAGTTCGAATGCACATCACTTGAATCCGTGCGTACCCAGCCTGCTTTCAGCTGAAAGGTAGCCAAGATTCTGTTGGCATACGGAGTACCCCGCTGGCAGATTGACCAGACTGCTTGCGTGGTTGGCTGACGGAACTCGGCGATGGAAGCTCTCTAAATGACAACCTCTGATTGGCCGCCTGCCAGGTCAGCTGAAGCTCTTCAGGACACACGGCCGCCACATGCAATTTTCAGGCAGCTCATGGCCTAAGGAGCGTTGGGACTCGGGCTAGAGGCTGACATGGATCGTCATCGCGTCACATGTGCCGCCGCCTAACATTGAACGACTCCCAACATCAATCTCTTTCTATCTTCACGTCACCAGCACAATTTCTTTGCTCCGCCCAGGCTCTTTCGGGACGTGGCAGGCCAGGTCAGGAGTGTACTGGTCAGTACACCTGACTCTTGCCACGCGATTTAGAGAAGCTTCCAGGCAGTATTCCTAACAGCATATTCACAACACCAGTCGACCGGCATAGAGTAACGCTGGGTCGATCCCGCCACCCGCCCGACAACTTGGGCACCCTGCAAGGTACGCGATTGAGCGAAGCATTTGCATATAGAGCTAGCAGATTCCTTCACTTGAATGCAACTCAATTTTATCCGTCGTCTGCATGAGCTTCCTGTGCATTGCTGCTAACTGTCTCTCGCCACAGAGTTCCATGTCCTTGCCTACTTACTCCGTGCTTATCCGGCCTTTCCGCTCAGACCGCTGTTGCGCCCACACTTTTGCATCTGAAATTCGCTTCACCGCATTGGTGCAGTATCAATCATTTTCAACAGGTCGTCATGCCTGAGTTCGCGGAGAATGACAGCCCGGAGAGCAATGCCCCGACCCCAGAGATTGCTGCAGGGTTCAAGAATGACGAGAAACAGCCAGCCAACTCATCACGGTTTGTCCACCCTTCGGGCAAGAGCGGTCATGGGCTTGGTATGCAAATACTACGGGGCATTGCATTCACCGTTTACTTTACATTTTGCTGCTTTGCGTGAGTATCCTTGTCTCATCCGCCGTGCTGCCGGGGCTCAACGGATTGACCATGGTCGTCTAACGAAACCTTTGGCTTCATAGAATCGTCGTCACTCAAACTATCGGTGCCCCATTGTACTTTATCAACCGCGAGTGGTTTTACGCATACATGGCCATGACAAAGCAGTCCTTTGCACTCACGATTACTGTCATGACTCATATTTGGGGCCCTGCTCTCGTTCGTATTAGCGGTGATGAGTCTGTAGCTGGACAAATTTTGGCCACTCCTGGTGGCGGCGTCGAGTTCAAATTTCCGGAACGCATGGTTATGATTGCAAACCACCAAGTAAGTTGACATGTGGTGATGGTATCACCAGGAGAGATCGCCGCCAGACAGGAGCTAACGCCAGTCGCCGCGCAGATTTACACAGATTGGCTGTACTTGTGGTGGGTTGGTTATGCAAATCGGCCAGGAATGCATGGGCACATCTACATCATTCTCAAAGAATCTCTAAAGTACATACCATTCATAGGAACTGGCATGATGTTTTACGGTTTCATCTACATGTCGAGAAAGATGGCTACGGATCAACCCAGGCTAGCTTATCGATTGAACAAACTCAAGCAGAAGAAGATTGACCCATCGGGCAGGGCTTATTTTGACCCCATGTGGCTTCTTCTGTTCCCGGAAGGCACTAATCTGTCCAGAAATGGCCGGAAAAAGTCTTCTCAGTGGGCAGAAAAGAATGGTCTCAAGGATCCCGATCATGTCATGTTGCCCCGAAGCACAGGCATATTCTTCTGTCTGAATGAGCTGAAGGATACAGTGGATTATGTATACGACTGTACTGTGGCCTATGAAGGAATACCGTAAGTTTGGGTCACTGCCGTCCCTAGGAACAACGAGACAAGACGATACAATTGCTGACGACACTCACACTCAACAGTCGAGGTAAATACGGAGAAGAAATCTTTGGGTTGGCAAGCACATACTTTCAGGGCCGCCCCCCCAAGTCGGTAAATCTGTACTGGCGGCGATTTCGGCTTGCTGACATCCCCCTCAACGACCAGAAGGAATTTGACATCTGGCTTCGGGACCAATGGTATAAGAAGGATGCGTTAATGGAGGAGTATCTCAAAAAGGGCCGTTTCCCAGCCTTGACCGGAGGCAAGACCGAGTATGTTGAGACTGAAGTCAGAACTAGACACCCGTGGGAAATCTTGCAAGTATTCACCGTTATGGGAACCGCTGGGTTGCTGTGGCACAACGTGCGGAAGTTTCTGTCAACAATCGCAGCCAAAGTGGGCACAATGGTATGATGGCTGTGAGATGGGAGTGCGGAGAGGCATTCATGAGTAAACCATTTGGGACACTTGCATAGCTGTGGACAGGTATAAGGCGACGTGGAGGCTGGGCTTCTCTAATTTTGTATACGTTTTCAGAGTCAGGAGTCGGTTTTATGGGCGAGGATGGACGCAGGTCAAGACACTGTGACACTTTTGGAGCGTGGAGCGAGATGGCTGAAATTGTGCGGACTCTCTATTTAGGAGTTGAATGGCGTTTATGAATAGACTCAGCGATTGCATGTCATGAAGATGAATGCAAGATTGTGCATATTCGGAGGCTTCTGCAATGTGCCGAGTTGGCAGTGGTTTCTGCCCTCTATCAGGCAGCTCGAACGGAAATCTTAACAGACTCGAAAATCTAACCTCACTGTCTTGAGAGACCTACGACAGAAGATCTCGCTCGTCTTTGCAGCTATGAAGTCCCTCGATAAGACGCTCTCTGTTAGTCAACTACTCCTTAACCCAATCGCCGGTAATGACGCCGTCTCTCCTACGCAGGTCGGGTCCATCCTTCTCCGCGGGCAAACCTAGTTACGGAATTCTCATCGGTTCAAGAGTCCATCATCAGAGCAAACGGGGCGTGAGAAGAGCCATATCCCGATGCGCAAGCACGTCCGGTGGTGCTGGTAGGCTGTGGAGTCTGACCGCGCCCTTCCAACACATTGATAAGACAACATCTGGACTCCCTCTGTCAAATGAAGAAGCTGCGAAACAATGACTTGCATGTGACCATCAGTTCACCAGCTGCAACAATGCTACCCGCTTCCGCATCGCCAACCACCCTGCTGCTCATCGATATCCAGCAGGGCATGAGGCACGCGACGCACTGGGGCCCAGAGAGAAGCACGCCCGAGTTCGAGTCCAAGGTCGAATCCGTGCTGCACGCCGCTCGCGCGTACAACCAACGCCGGCCAGACAAGCCCGTCCTCATCATCCACGCCCACAACCACTCCGCGAGACTGGCCTCGCCGCTGCACCCGGCGTATGTATTCCCGGACGGCGCAATCGGCGTCGCCCCGATGGCCGTCGCAGCCCCCGTCGCCCCGGAGCCGGTGCTCGTCAAGGACGTCAACTCCGCTTTCATAGGGACTGATCTGGAGGCGCGCTTGAGAGCGTTTAACACGGCGCAGCTGGTCGTCCTGGGGCTGAGCACCGACGAGTGCGTGAGTTCGACTGTGAGAATGGCCGCCAATTTGAAGCTTCTTGAAGGGGATGCTGCGGGGAGCCCGGCCGAGAGCAGGATAGTCTTGTTGAGCGACGCCACGGCCGCCTGGGCCAAGGGCGGGTTCTGCGCCCGAACTATTCATGAGGTTCACCTTGCGAGCTTAAATGGCGAGTTTGCGAGGGTGGAAACGACCGAGGATGCGATCGAGGCCGTCTTGCGTTAGCCGCCCATTCGTCGTGTCGGCTGGCAATGCGGAAAGAAGGCCATCATGGCTATGGCTAGTACCGCCGGGAGCAAGGACATTAAGACCTGGGATGAACCATCGTTTTGCGAGGCTCGCAGCGTGCCAGCTGATTTGAACCACTGGTCGAGTTGGGTATTTTGCGAATCACGCGTTGCAAATACAAGCAGTGGAAATGTGATTTCCAGATATATGGCTATTCTACACTCCTGGTGTATTTTCTCTCGCTACGTGTCTTCAGCTTTCGTAGTTGCTTAACCTGCATGTTTTTTCTCGGCACCCCTCTCTCCGTGGCCGTGGGTGCCTTGAATGCTGGTCGCTGGCTACGTGTATAACGTATCTCATGTTATCATCTTTGAGAATGTCTTTCAATCTAGCACTTCCTAAGAAATCACATCGCCTACTAGCACAAACTTCCTTTACGGCACCGCGTGGTCTTGTCCGCAACCATGATATGTGATCCGGTCTCGTGGATATTCGTTGGATGGAATGTACCTATTAGATCCTGTGTAGTTTTACGACGGAAGTAAAACCAAGCATTGTCACTAATGTTGTGTTGATAACGTAGTTGGAAGTAGCCCCGGTTAGAGAATTTATTGAACTCCGTCGGCTCGTCGGCTCCTTGCTGGGTACTCAACACAGAATCCGAAGTGCTCCATTCTATATGCATGTTAGCGCATGCAATATTTAGAGTTCCATGCAAAAGAGAGCTCGGGACACAATGATCTCGAAACCCAGGAGCAACTATGCTTAGTGTGTATGCTTGATGATCTGCAGACATCAATTTATTGGTTCATTTATACGCTTGACGAGCTGAAGAGATACTGGAATATACAAAACGAAAAGGGTTCCGCTTTTCGGGTCCAGATTCAGTGACATTACATCAAAAGGGGTTGAGACCATTCGACGGAACAATTTGTGGCCTTGTGAAGACTCGGAGTGCAAGACGCCATCTAAAATTCACTCTTTGGGCCGAGGGAAAGACCACCGCCAGTGTTGAAGGTGAGGTAAAGCATGGCTGCTGGTGTTGTATACAGTTCTAATTTCAACAACCCCATGGACCACAGAAAAGCAAAGCAGTGCCTCCAATATGCCGTGTGTTGGTGGCTGAACGAGTGTATTCCCAAGTGTGTCAACTTGGTCGACCGAGGCATCCCATGATGATTGATGGCCCGGTTTTGGTTATTTCGGCGTGATGCCTCGGCAACTATGATATTCTGCCGAAAGGCAAAAACGGCATATAGCCGGTATGGTTTGCTGGGAACAAAGTCGGGGAACAGACACCGGGTATGAGCATGTAGTTGAAGTAGGCTTGGCTTGGTCCTTTGCCATCACGCCAACAGCTCTGGATTGGCTGTGCTTCTTTCAGCCCACAAACTTCAAGCCCATCAAGGTCCTGGACATCCGCTCGATAGGAAATAGGCATCAACTTGGCGTGCATTCGGAAGAAGTAGGGACTGTCTTCCATAAAAATAAATCATCATTCGAGCCTATTGGATTGTGAAATCGCGTTATTGATTCAGGCTGTATCGAGATGGATCTCTTGGACCTCGTTTGTTGGCAGGAAGCAGGTTGGCGTGGCGTTGATATCTAGCAGGTTTTGTGGCAACTTTGAACGCACTAAATACGAGCCAAGTCATGGCCGACTTGCTGCTGTTTGCCTGTGGATTACACCTCGGCATCCTTCCTCACGGAATGCCCCTTTATTGGCTGTCGATTGGACTAACCGAACCCCTCCAAGTGTTCTCAGGAAAGAAAGAGGTGATAGGTGGCGGGACGAGCCTGAGATGGCGTTCCACAGGTTGTCGGATGTGGCAAAGGCCGTGCGAAGGAGGTGTTTAAGAACAAAACGGACGCCGTTCGCTGCTCGTTGATTGAGTTGTGGCTGGTTCCTTTGCTGAAAATGGACGAGTCACGACACCAATGGAAATTTAAGTACCTTGGCAACTTCTTTCCTGTTGTGCGAGGACAACAGTAGTACGTAGCGGTGCACTCTAGAGATCCATGCCAAGCCCCGCCATCTGTTATAGAGCCATGATAGGTTTTGATGGTCTGTTCGGCTGATTTCTAATTGGTGGGACGGAGCCAATCTGGCTCAGGTCCCGATGCGACGGAGAGTGTCCCAAGATGCAGAGAACTGGTGAGATGAAAGAGCGAGAGCGGAGGTTGCAGGCGATGTTGTGAGCTGATTGACGAGAGTTGAAGGTCACTTGCATCACGCCCACTTCAATCGTGCCAACCACGTGTACTAGTCGCCGTTTGCTCCTTCCCACTCAGCATCCCTCATCTCATGGCGAGCTGAGGAAGGTATGACAGGATGGCTGGGGTTGAGACAGGCCAATTAAAATTTAAAGTACTATCAATTGATTCTGCAGGCATCTGGAGCCACTGGACTTTGTTTTTGCCATTCCATACGCCGTACTCCGTACCAAGACTTGTGTCGCATGCCCCGTGCCTTTCCGGTCGCGTACAATGCAAACAATGCACTCGTCAAGAGACCACGAGTCTCGCACAAGCGACTGAGACGCCTTCCCCGCAGCAGGCGGCGCCGGCAAGATCATCGGAGAACACCTTGTCAAGATATTGCCATCCCCGCAAGCCCAGGCCGCCAATTTTTGGCCTCCTCCTGGTCCCGAAACGGCCAACACGCCCGGCGCATCCCAGCAGTTCCAGGCTCAGCGACCCGCTTCCCCGCAACACCTCAACCTACTAGTTTCTGGGGTAGAGCTCTTGGCTTCGCTGTCCGCCACCCCCCCAGCGGATCACCGGCGTGGAGCAAGGGAACGAGGCCGAGCATTCTACAGGTAAATCTCCAATCTCTGAGGTCGGCAGATGGAGTCGCTCGTTCAAATCTGGCGCTCTAGCCATCCCCAGTCCCCACCAAGCAGTGTGCTTGCTAGGAAGCTTATTGAGAAGGTAGTACGGAGTAAGTGCTACGGAGTTGTGCATGCAATGACGGAGTAGCCGCTGACAAGTCCGCAAAGAGTCAACCAGGTCTCCCGTCAGATAATAGCTTTCTCGATCCTCCACCTAAATTATGGATCTAGCGCCAGTGATAGCCTCCAACCTCCTTGCTTGGCTTGGCTATCCACCATTTCAACAGCGAAGGCTGTATTGTTAGTTCCTTGGGTCCTTGATGCCAAAAAGTGCCGAACTAGAGCCGCCAGGAAGTCCGGATAGAAGTTGCCCGTCTTCGCCAGGAATTGCTCGCCAGAGATTTGCCCCTAGCCGTCCCCGCTACTATATATCTTTTACTGCTCGCCCTCATTTCAGTCCCAAAAGTCTTCATAACCATTGCTAAGAAAACTTTGTACTGTTCTGGACCCAGTGGCTTCATGCAATTGCCCGTCTGCGTCATCGCTTTTGTCTAATCAACGGGTACAATAACGGTGAGAGTTTATACTACCGTTCCGCGGGGCTCAACCATGGCATCTCGTCTCGAAGATGCTGAGAAGCACATGGTGGAACACCGGGATCTTGCCAGCGCGTCTAATGAAAAGCTTGAGAGCCAACTTGCAGAGGCCGGTGATGCCGATAGCGACTATGGATTTACAAAAGTTGAGCAGAGGAATATCATTCGCAGAATCGACCGTCGACTGGTTCTTACCGTTGGTTTTATGTACTGCGTTAGTCTTATGGACCGGACCAATATGAGTGCCGCCAACATTGCGGGCATGAGTGTTGAGCTCAAGTTGATCAACAATCGATACGTGAGTTGAAGAACCAATTATTGAATAATAGCAGGAAACATCAAGCACGGCCAGCTAACGCTCTCTAGAACATTGCCAATCTCGTCTTTTTTGTGACGTATATTATTTTCCAGCCCCCGTCCACTATACTTGTGCGAGCAATTGGACCGCGAGTTCACCTTGCAGCAATAACACTTCTTTGGGGGGCCGTCATGATTGGAATGGGGTTCGTCCAGAACTTCTCCCAGCTAGCAGCCCTCAGAGCTGTGCTTGGTCTCTTTGAGGCCGGCTTCTTCCCGAGTTGTGTTTACTTGCTCAGCACTTGGTACACTCGATGTGCGTATTATGGAAATCATATAGACCTCTCAAATAAGGGACCAGAAGAACATGTTACTGACTACAACTATAGATGAGATTGGCAAAAGATACTCGGTATTTTATGTTGTTGGATGCTTAGCATCTGCCTGTTCCGGTATTTTGGCTTACGGCGTAAGTACATGTGCTATGCGATACCAATCATCAAGTTATCGATGGCAGCTAACGTTGCTTCTTCTCAAAGCTTATGCAGCTCAACGGACGGGAAGGCCTCACAGGTTGGCGCTGGATTTTCATCATCGAAGGCGCACTGACTTGTGGCCTGGCGATTGGCTCTTACTGGCTTCTGGTCGACTTCCCAGATTCCACTCGCAAGACTTGGAGCTTCTTAAATTTGCGAGAGCGGCAGTGGATTGTCAGTCGTGTCCAACGTGACAGAGGTGATGCCAAGGTTGAGCCATTCAACCTGGGAAAGTTCCTCCGAGGCGGAACCGACTGGAAGGTTTGGGTTTATGCCATGATCTTCTTCAACACTACGACTATAAGCTATGCTCTTGCTTATACGCTACCAATTATCCTTGTTTCCAATATGGGTTTCTCCGTGGGGGCAGCTCAGTGCCTTGTTGCCCCTCCTTATGCTTTTGCTGGCATCGTCATGTTCACCATGGGCTGGCTTGGAGACAAGCATCGCATTCGTGGACTCATCATTATTGGCAACATGGTACTGTGCCTCATTGGCCTGCCGATAATGGGCTGGCACTCCAAGGCTGCCGTACGATACTTTGGCGTTTTCCTCGTTACAGCCGGCGCCAACAGCAACGTTCCTGCTACGATGTCTTTTCAGGCCAACAATGTGCGTGGCCAGTGGAAGCGAGCCTTTTGCAGTGCCACGCTTGTTGGCTTTGGCGGCATCGGCGGCATTTGTGGCAGTCTTGTGTTCCGAGAGCAGGACAAACTTACTGGTTACAAACCCGGCATGTATGCATGCATCGCCTGTGCGCTTCTCAACGTTATCCTGGTTTGCGTTTGTGATTTGGAGTTTTTCCGACAAAATAAGAAGGCCGACAGAGGCGAGAAGTTGCTGGAGAGCGACGATAGTGTAAGGCCACCCGCCCTATTGCATCTCGATGGTGCGTGAGAGAACCCCAACCCTAACCGTGCACAGGAAACCTCGGCTACCGATTTCAGATATACCTATTAAACCTTTACGACGATATGTCTGCGACTTTGACGCGATTAGTATGCGAGTGTTTAATTGCCTAGGGATTTAGTGCTTTGTAATACATGGTGATTACGATGACAATGGAAATACAATAGTCGCGAGTGACTTGTGTGCTACCCGCCATGCAAACGGATGAATCAATTGTGCGGACCACAAAGGCATAGTGGTCAATCACTCATTGTATCCAAATCAGTTTGTCATTGTTGGCAGAGAGATACAAATAGCTCAAGTTTGGTGAATTTATGGCAGGCAAGATACCAAGTTGAATTTGAGCTTGCCCGATGTACAGCTTGACTTTGCGGTGAAACTGCCCGCAACATGAGTAATCTCGTCTTTCTTTTCGTGCCCCTGGGTGTCGTATTCTTTTGGCTGGCGGCATTTGCTTGCCTGAAGCGCAGTACGCGAGCAGGAAACAGACATGAACGTCTAGACTCGGCCGAGCGGCAGGCCGTGGCTGAGAATGGCTTCAGCAGTTTGGCGAACTCGATAGCGGCTACCGAATCGGAATCGTTGCCAGAAGCAGAACCAGAGACGGAAACAGAAGCGCCACAGCCACCACGTGAAAGGCCAAAGACCACTCACATTGATATTGAGGGAGCCGGAGGCCGGACCCGAGACGGCATTAGACGGGCCATAGGAAACATATTCGATGTAGGGGGGCCGAGATATGCGCCTTTGTATATACATCCTGGTTCATCCGATATGTCGCCGTCGTCGTCGTCTTCTTCTTCTTCACCTTCGCCGTCTTCGCTGGAGTGGCGGCCGTCGTTCTCAACACTGCGGAATCATCTAGCAGGAGTGTTTCGTTCAAGTACTAGTTCCCCAAGGGATGCCGAAGGAACTGCGTTCCGCGGCGAAAGAGTCTCTGAAGAGTCGAATATCATTTTCAACATGTCACTGTGAGCATTCAGAAGATGCGAAGAGAGGAGAGGTTGCGTTACTGTTATAAGTCTGGTGGCTTCGTAAAAGGCGCGTGGGGGTCAGGTTCCGGCTATACGAGTTGGGCGGGAGGTTATGGAAACACAGCTTGGGTGGTTTGGGGAATGGGCAGTGTCAGACTTTATTTTCCCGTGAAGTCGTACATGGACAATTAGCCACGGCCGCGGGGGGGAGACTTGTATTCGAAATTCGGAATGGGCCAGGTGCGGTCCGTAGAAACAATATTGGTACGTGTACGCCGTTACATGTTGACGACGAAAAGGCGCTAGCTGGATGGTGACTGAGCTTATCACCAGGTCTGCTCAAGACATCCCAGGGGTCATATTAAGCTTATCAGAATTAAACGAGAAGGTGGCGAATGAGTTTATTTTGGCACCAAACAATTGGCTGGACGTGTCGGCGACCTCCTGCCGGCCTAGCCGTCGCTTCGCCTGATAACGACACTGGAGACAGCCAAGTCGGCCGGTTTGCTGACCAAAGGATTCCGCTGCAGCCTATTTAAGTATCGAATATTGTTGTCCACGTGTGGTACGGAGTACAGCTGAGACATTTTCCCTCCCTCCCGTGTTGGTTGCTTGGTCCTGGACGGCGAAAGCCCACCTTCCCATCTTCGTCTTGGACCTCAGACCAATGACTGCATCCACGTGCGGACAATGCCGCCGTCGTATCGGCTAGGCACTAGGTTTTAAACGACACGATTCTAGGTCCAACCCGTCGCTTTTGCCAGATTGCCGTCACTATTTTGACCTCTCTTCATGCGCCTCACCCCGCATACATCGTCAGGGCACGTGGCCGCCGTAGCTGAAGGACAAGGTGTGTGACGCCGTTAAGTAACATTGAATGGCGCCGACCGATCAAATAGGCCCATTCTTCATTTGAACTTTCCGTCGCCAGGGCCTGAATCTCATCTTGCACAGCCGTGTTCGCTGTTGTTGTTGGAGCTCGTCCGGTTGCATTGGCTCTGGGAGAAGGGCGCTCTATCCAAGAACCGACGCACAGTTGATCTCTGGCATTGTGAAGTAGTACTGGCATCCTTCACAACATGAAGATCGCTGCGACGCTGGCCGTATTGGCAATTGGCCCTGTTGCCCTCGCCGATGATGTTCTTTACAGCAGTCGCTTCTCGAAGCGTGGCTTGCTCCCGAACGGCAATTACAATCTCTGTATGATGTCTCCGTTGCCAAAAGCATCGACAGCTTCACATGTGTATTGACACGAGATGGCTCAACTAACCTTGAACTGCTAGCATTCTTTCACGTCAACGACGTCCATGCCCATCTGGACCAGTACACCAAAGCCGGCGCAGACTGCACAGATGCCACAAAAGGCTGCTTCGGAGGCTACGCCCGCATCAAGACCAAGGTCCATGAGCTGCAGAAACAGAACCCTGACCACCTGTGGCTGAACGCAGGCGATGAATTCCAAGGCACCCTGTTCTATACGTTCTATGGTGGGGAAAAGATTGCCGAGACTATCAACGACCTGAAATTCGATGCCATGACCCTGGGCAATCACGAATGGGACGGAGGCGACGAGAATCTTGGCAAGTTCTTGAAGAACTTGACTTTCCCCATCGTCTCCTGCAACGTCAAGAGCACCGTCAAGGACTTGAACGAGACCATCAAGAACTACCACATCTTCGAAAAGCATGATCTCGCCGTTATTGGTGCCACGACCGAGACCACGCCCAACATTGCCAATGTTGGCAAGGGAACCACCTTTCTTGACCCGATTCCAGAGATCCAAAAGGCCATTTATGAGATCCGTAACACAACCAAGGTCAAGCGCATAGTCGCACTCACCCACCTCGGCTACGAGGTAGACCAGAAGCTTGCCCAGCAAACGGAGGGCCTCTCACTCATCATTGGCGGCCACAGCCACACATTGCTGGGCAACATGGACAAGGCCGAGGGAAAATACCCTACCATTGTCAAGGACAAGGGCGGCAATGAAGTCTTTGTCGTCACCTCCTACCGATGGGGCGAGTACCTGGGCTCAATCGAGATGACCTTTGATGACAACGGCAGGGCCTTGTCCTACCACGGAGCACCCATCCACATGGACAACACCACCTCCCTAGAAAAGAACCTCCAAAAAAACATCACCGCCTGGAGAGGCCCCTTTGAGAAGTACGCCGCCGAGGTCATCGGGAGCACAAAGAACGTCCTGGACCAGACGGCGTGCCAAAAGGGCGACTGTCTGCTGGGCCAAGTCATGGCCGACGCAATGCTCGAGTACCGCCAGAACCAGACCAACGGCACCGCCGACAAGCCCGACTTCGCCATCATCAACGCCGGCGGCATCCGGGCCACCATTGACGAGGGAAACATTACCCGCGGGCAAGTCATCACCTCGTTCCCGTTCGGCAACGCCGTCACCCAACTCAAGTACTCTGGCGCCGATCTGCGCAAGATCCTCGAAGGCTGCGTCTCCCGCGTCAGCCAGTTCAATCAGAAAAAGACATCCTCCTGGTTCCAGGTCTCTGGCAACATTGTCGTCGAGTACAACGAGAGCAGAGACGCCGGGTCCAGGCTGGTCAGGGCTACCGTCGGCGGCAAGGCGCTGGACGACAAGACCGACTACAATGTCGTCACGGTCGATTTTGTCGCCGGCGGCGGCGATAACCTCCTGAAGCCTGCTACCGAGTTTGTCACCCTCGAGTCGCTGGACCAGGTTCTCGTCGCGTACATCGGGGCGCACACGCCGCTTCAGAACGCTCTGCAGAAGCGTGTTGTTTCTTCAAACGGCACGGCGGGAGGGGGTGCTGGAGACGGGGGCAAGGCTTCAAATGGAGAGTCTAAGGGTGCGAGCTTGCGGGCGCCTCGGCTTTTGGTTGGCCTGTCTTTTCTGGAAGCGCTTGTTTTGTGATTGACTTTGGGCAATTTGACGATGGATGTACAAAACGCTCGATTCAACAATAATATAAGGTCCTTGGTTCTCCAAGAGGAAGGCAGGGACTAGTGGCCACTATATATACATGAAAGAAACGCTCGTGCCTAGGCTCATGCTATAGCACGTGTTCTAGTTGTATAGCCAATAAGTCCCCGATCGGAGGGCCCCTTTGCTGGGCTCGCGATCTTGTTGGGCTTTCTCCGTGTTACTGTGACAAGGGGTTCAATATAGAAGGCTTAGAGCAAAAGGGCTCAATTCAATAATAATCTCGAAGGGTCTCTAAGGTCTTGAGTTGCTAAAAGGCAAGAAGGGAAAGGTGACCGCTTTATATACATAAAAGGGACGCCCGGGCCTAGGGCTCTGGCCCGAGGACGTGTTTAAGCTGTGTAACTTCGAAGTCCCGTATCGGTGAAGCCCCTTTGTTGGGCTTCACGATCTGTTGGGCCTTTTCCGTGTAACAGTAACAATTTCAAACAACGTTGGTATCTGCCACGTAAGGATTGAATCCTTCTTGGGATGCTCCTAAATTCCAGATATTGTCGCACACCCAATGATCGATGTCGTGGGTTAGGAGCGCTTTTGGAATCGTTTCCATCATTGATACGTACGGTCTTGAAAGTCCTATTGAGTGCATCCAGTCGTTCCAGCGAGTCCGAAACGATAGTCTCCGTTCAGGCCTTTGTAATGGTGGCATGGGGTTGATGCCTCTTTGACTAAAGCAGTTGGCGACTTTTCTCCAAAGGCGTTCGTCTTTCAGCTTGTGGACAGCAATAACATTGCTTCCATAGACTGCGTGCGAAATCGCATTAGGGTGAGTGCCGGCCCTTGCCCACGCGAAGTCATGTTCTCTAGAGTCGGAATCGTCGTAATCAAACTTCTCGTCGCCACGAAAGTTGACAAAGTTTGCCGTCTGCGATCCCTTGTGCATTAGGATACCGACAGCTGCGTCCTCACCGGTGAAGACATTAAAGCTCTCCTGCAGCGAAACTAGTAATTGCACCATATCCCAGGTGAGTGTGTACATTGACCCATGTGCGAAGGTATTGTATCCCGAGTCTGAGAAATAGAGCTGTCCGATAACGGTTCGGTTTACAGCAGCTGTTAGATGACCCGTCTTGTTGGATAACCTAGGGACCAGGTACTTCTCCCAGAACGCAGGAGCGTTGATCCAAACATCGGTGTCTAATTTGGTCACAAATTCGTACTTGGATCCATGGTTTATAAGCCATTTGTATAGTTCAAGGGTTTTGATCGTATTGGCGGTCATGTCATCTTCGGGTATGTGGTCGAGGACAATCAAATCGCCAAATGTGCGATTTTCAAACCGAATCATCTCACTCCAGCCGGGGCCTGGGTTGGACACAACAAAACGAGGATCAAACGGGACATGTCGAAACAGCCGCATCCACGTTGATCGTATTAACATTCGTCGCTCAACATCCTGGGCCGCACATATAACTGCCGCCAGCCATGGACGACGCACTTTGTGGTCTGATGCGTCGTGAATTCTTTCAAGCGGCGAGACAGGGAACGGTATCAATGAATATTGCGGATTGTGCGAGGTTTTGATGGCTTTTTGGTGAACGACTGTTTCGACCGTCCAAGTTCGGGGGCCTGAACGACCGTAGGCAAAAAAAAGATATTTGATGAGACTTAGAGAAATTAAAACGCTAAAAGTAACGAAACGAAATTGCCGCTTTTTCATGGATTTTAAAATGGCTAGCCTTGAATATGTACGTATCTGCCAGGCTAAGTTTTTGAGTGCCATTGTCAGACCGCAAATCGGCGCATGCAGGCACTGCCTGGAGTGTAATAGGGAAGTCTGAAAGTGGAATGCATAACGATTGAAAAGACGAAACATGAAAGTTTCAGTCACGAGACCGTGGTGGGAAGTGGGAGAAGCTCACAGCCCCAAGCACATGCAGGCTTTTGTGTTGGGACATGCAGCATTGAAGTATGTAACGTCTGTGTGGTACTTCTGCCGAATGCGCCCGGGGACTTGGCGCCACACCGAACTAGCTTTACGCTACTTTGTGCAGTTCCGCAACGGTTATTACACGGAATAGGCCTAATAAAACGCAAAGCCTAATAAAAGGGGCTTTACTAATAAAAACTTTTAAGCTATATATAAAAATATATAAAAATATATAAAAATATATAAAAATATATAAAAATATATAAAAATATATAAAAATATATAAAAATATATAAAAATTAAATTTAACTTTTTTATTTTAATATTTATTTAAAAAAGTAATTTATAAATATACACTTCTCTAGCTAGTTAACCTAAATCAAGACCTGAGTTTAAGATAGCAGCGAAAATACAGTACCTACACCAAGGGGGCTATACAAACAAGTTATTTGTACATAATGGTCCCAGGGGCTCTAGCAGCCGCATCCACAATTATCGCAGTTGCCTTGACCACAAGGCATGATGACATTTGCAATCTTGCCAATTCGAGCAACGGGTCTACGAGCCAAAGCCTTGTTCCTCGGCTGCCCAGCACCGCCTTCCGCTGGGGCCGCACTGTCTCCAACAGTAGCCGTTGTGGCTGCATCCATACTCTCCACCTTTCCAGCATTGACGTTCGAATATCTTCTTGTCGCCCCTTTTGCGGAGGAGGCTCTCCGGATGGTTCAGACACTTGCGGACGCTGTCGGGGTTCACGCCTGGGGGAAGTGTCTGGTGTCTTTGTCAATTTTCATGACCCCGAGAGCGCCACATTCAGCGTCTAGATCCTCAATGCTTGCCGATGCAGAAATTACCCCTTGGAAGTAGATGACGGCAATAGCTACTACCCCAAGGAATTGCATATTGATCAAGTTGGTAGATTTTGCCACGAGGCTAATTGTTACACAGAAAGGGGCCAATGTCAAAGGTTACACAAGGGCTACAGTCACGGGACTAGGGCAAAGTCCCTCACCGACTTCTTGTATTTAAAGAGGTCTTTGGTCAACGAGGCCTCGAGGAAAACTAGGGACCTTTGATACCAAAGACTGTTATTAGCTGAATTGAGCCGAATTGCTCTAAGCCCTCTATTGAGCCCTTCTCACAGTCCAGATCCTCAATGCTTGCAGGTACAGCAATCACTCCCTGGAAGGAGATGACGGCAATAGCTACTGCCTTGAGGAATCGCATATTGATCAAGTTGGTTGATTTTGCCACGAGGCTAACTGCCAGAGCTCAAGTGGGAATAAAGATTCAGAGTAGGTGCTTTCTTCGAGATTGCAAATCGGAGTATATCATTCTCTGTGTAATTTTCCAGGTTAAAGCAGGAATAGTTGGGTCTATTTATACTTTCCAAGACGCCGGTGACTGAAAATCAAACAAGGGAATCCCCGACACATGTTGCCACATGGCGGGAGCACAACCAACGGAGCCATTGTTTTATGAAAGTGACAAGCACTATCAAGGCACCTGTGAGTGAAGGTTGAAGCTTTTCCCGTCTGGACAAGGTGCATGTGGATGCTGCTCCCAGCAGGATTATAGTGGAGTGCCGTTGCAAAACGACCAGCCAATGGCTACATATGTGCTTGATTTGGAACCAACATGCATGAGGTCTACGATGGGCAGAAATTAAGGTGGCTCGAGCCCGCAAAATTTGCAACCCTTGCATGAATCTCTCAAAGCCAGGTCATAGATTTGTCTAAAATGTGTTTATTGGCTGGACATGAAAGGTGGCTGCGTTGGACACCGGACGTGACTTGAAAGCCAACCCCGATCTCTCGGCCGCTTTTTGCAATGCATGGCATAAAAGGATGCCAGGGCACCTCGTCGCGTGATGTATAAATCTCGTCACGAATAGTCTCTCCTCCTGTTTTTTTTTTAGCATTTTATTATCTCTCATGATATCTTGGTATATCACATTAAACGGCCCGAAGAGTAACTACATAATATTATCTCGGGGCTAGTCAGAGTCGTACCAGACAATAAATTTAACTTGCAAACAAAGTTCTACGCTGTAACCGCGTCCGGCGCAATTATTACACTAGCAACATGGCAACGTCTTACAAAAATATTTCTAAAATAATACTATTTATTATTAGCGCAATATTTGCTCTGTACGTTTAACTTAATTGTTTAATAACGCGCTTGCTCTTGTTGACAGAACACTGTTAAGGGCTGGTATATACATATATATTAGTGTATTAAGAAAGTATTTTACAGGTTCTTTTTAGAATACATACTAGATTAAGGGCAGGGTCACTGGGCTTGGAACAGAGGGTTCAATTCAAACTATAATCGCCTTTAGGTTATCAAAGGTCCTTGATTTTCCGCGAGGCGCTGAGGGATGGAAGGCCCCTACAAATACAAGAAGTCGGTGAGGGCTTGTGCCTGAGGCAGCCCTCGCTTGTGACCGACTTCGGGCCTCGTGACCGTTGCCGTTGTTGTTGTGTAACCGTGCGTTGACCGTTGTTGGCCCAACGCCCTTTGTTGTGTGCAACCGTGTGACAGTTACTTACGTGACGATCGATTTTGTGTACTGCTGCGCTTGTGCCTATACTCTTGATTATTGATAAGGTGTGATTTCTCTTGAGAGTCTGCGAGTAAATAATTTAGAACATTAAGCAGAAGTCTAGGTAGAAGCCCCATCGAGGTTATTGAGGGCATCAGCCAGGGAGCCTCTCGAGAGGCAGCAGGGCAAGACGACTGCGGTCTTGATGGCATGGGCGCTGCGCCACTCGGGCAGCTTCTTCCATCACAACGAGCATTAAAGCATCCAAGTTGTTACGTTTGTCAACTCACACTCAAATACAAGCTGTCGGAGCCCAAAAGTTAAAACTGCCATCCATAGAAAAGAGCGGTATTTTCCATATCCTCTCCGTCCATAACTCTTGGATATTCATCATCATCCCTTTTCTACCTCAAACTCCGAAAGTTGATGGTGCGTTGCCGTCCATCCGCCGCCCTTCATTCTCCTTCATCCCATACTAATCGATTAGTATCATCATGTCTGAAGGACTTCTGACCCAAGAACAGGCCGTTTCCAAACTCCTGGCCTTCATCTTTTCTGGTGCCATCGGTCCTGCCAAGGGGAAAGCTGTGGGCTACTCTCTGGTTGCTACAAAGCCTACTGAATTTTCGTGGTGGGTGGCCTTGGAGGATATCGACGGGCCAGACGTGCCTCTTGACCGGTACTGCGTCAAACTCGACAGACGATCCAGGCACATTTCGCCCCCCGAACCCGTCGTGCTTTCGAAAGAAGAGTTGTCGGATGCAATTCTGTCCGCCACTGGACAGCACCTAGCCTCATCTGCCAGGTTCACTGATGGTGCACTGAGCATCTCCTACAAGGTCACTGTCCAAGAGACTCCAGATGTCGCCTACGTGGTACAGCTACGCCATCACGGCAATGTAGCCTCTATGGACTCGCTGATGACCTTGATATCCAAGACTGTCGGCCCTCACATCTTGCCAGTGCCCCCCGTATATCCGATACCAGGGGAGGGGAGACGGCAACAAGTTACGGGCGTAGGAAGGCAGATAACACGACTAATTCCAGGCGTTGTGGCTTCAACGACGTACCCTCACCTATCTCATGACGAGAAGCTTTCTTTTGTACGAAAAATGGCCCTCGCATTCCAGGCCTGCTGGAGCATCCCGATTCCGCAGCGTCTCATCGGTGAGCTTGTTTCCACCAAAGTTGGGGACGACATCATCCTCAGCGTTGGACCCGATCGACATAATAGCCTCGGCGGGCCCTTTCAGTCTGTACGCGAATATCTTCAAGCTTACATCAGGGCCTCCATTATCGCCTTGGAGAAGCAGGAAGGCATCCAAGAATACAAGGACAAATATCTGAAGCGGATCAAAGATTTTGTTCATGACCATATGCACGAGATTCCGCCGATTGTGGAGGATGTCCCTATTGTCGCCATGCACTCTGACATGGGACCTCACAATATTATTGTGTCGAGCCAAACGCCTACGAATTTGGAGGCTGTAATTGACTGGGAATTCGCTGCAAGTGCCCCATTCGCGACACTTCACCGGATTATTGAGATGATGTTCCGCGAGTCGGCCGCAAATGAATTTGGCCCCGAGTATGGCCGCGCCAGTGAACTTCGCGAGGCTTTCTGGGATACTATTCCCGACTGGAAGTTGTGGGTTGAGAGCGAGCCTTGTCGAGTCTTCTTGGAGTGGTTTAGGTTTGGTTTGTTCATGAAGCCTGAGTGGCGGCCAGATGATCTTGCTGAGGAGGATGCACGAGAATTCTGGCGGGAAAATATTCGGGTCGTTGAAGGCATGTTGGAAAAGTATATCTAGGTAAGCAATTCACGCTCGTTCAACCTTCAGCCGGGCAGTAAGATGCTTGAGTCTGGCTGGGAGTTTGATTTTATTGAAGGCTCAGATACGGGGAGGCATCAAGTTTGTCGGGTAGTGAGTTTGCCGCAAGGAAATAAGTAAATTCCATCGCTATGACGACGAGTGACTGACCTGGCGGTAGACTGGCCCAGCCATGCGCATTGCCCGCAAATCGCCCGAGACTTTATGGCCCTCTCAGACGGCGACGCCATGTCCTTGACGTGCGAGTTTGGCAAATCTCAGCTATCCGGCGCCACGAATACCCCAAAGTCACGTATCTTCTAGTTTGTGTGTAGCCAAAAGAAAGAAATGGCCGGACCACGAGCTAACTCCGCATAGGCTCTGATTAGGCCATCTGACAATGCACCGCTGGCGGACGAGGCGCTACAAAAGTCTATCCATAAGACGTATACTGACGCGTACCGACTGACCGGGTTCAAGGGTGGCAATTGGGCCTACGCGTCTAATGCCAACGATACAGTTGGTCTTTCGTGAGGGTTGCCAGAGAACAAGATGCCGCACGAGCAACGACGTCTGGGAGTATACTATTGGGGCTGGGAAAGCATTACGGTGTGAAGCGTGAACATCGTACTGCCCGGACACATATTTATGAACGTGATCTAGTTGCATCAAGATGGGACGAAGGAGGAGGCGTTTTTGGAAGAAGTTAAAAATTTGGGCCCGTGGATGGGCGCAGGGACCGGCGCACGGTATGCTTTGCTAAGGAAGCATGAATAAGTGATGGCTTCGATGTTTGTAGTGGCAGACGAGCCGCGCGTCGAGAATCTTTACACCTCCCGCTGGCTTGATGGCAGATGTCGTGCAAATGCCAAACAGTTGAGCATCCCATTCACACAGACAACTTGGATCCTCAACGACGAATGCAAGATGCGCACATACAAACCAGATGACAACAACTGCCATGTAAAAATTTGGCAAAACCAACAAGTCTTTACGGACATGGCACTTGCGTCACCCGACATTTTGGGGTGAGCATTATACTCGGCTGATAGACCAAGTGGGCTGCTAGTTATTGCGGTTCAATGTTAGTATCCTATTTATGCCCGGCTTTGAGATGGGCCCTGGTACTTTTCGTGTCAAACATGGATAAGGTTACAATCGCCGCCAGCGTACGGTTCTTGACTGGGACGATTCCTATACACTACGCCAGGAACCTGCTGGGAGACTTTGGCCTAGAGGCTAGAGCCCATCAATGACACATGTACCATGGAGGTATGTATTAAAATGCAAAGTGTAAAGGCTAATTCATGATGGTGGAGTCGTTGTCGTATGCTATGGATATGTATATAAACATGTTGTTCCCTGACTCATTCACATAATGTCTCTCGTTCGACTTTGACTTCAAGTAGCAAATCCAGAGCCCGTGACCGCTACGCCTTCAATTGGCTACATCGGCATGTTGTTGCGCGCAATTCTTACGCTCCTCGCGAGCGCCTTGAGCAGCCCCGCGTTTGCGGCGCCTGCGGGCAAGGTTCGAAGTCATAGGGTCCGAAATTTCATCTACGTCGTCCCTGATGGATTTGGGCCTGCATCGCAGACCCTCTGGCGAGATTATATCAGCATCATGAACAAGAATGGGACGGAACTGCGGCCCAACTCGACAGCGACCGATCTCGATGGCATCGTAAGTGCACCTCCCTGGAAGATTGTGAACGGGACAAGAGTCGAAAAAAAAAATGCTCACACTGCATCAAGATGATTGGCACCGTGCGCACCCAGTCGTTTGATAAATTTGTTACGGATTCAGCAGCCGCGGCTACTGCTTTTGCGACTGGCCACAAGACGCATAATACAGGTCAGTCGACTGAGCCAACCACATGCTGCTCGTAACGGGCCGTGAAAAACAAGGGAGGGTTTTGCTAACTTATCGCAGGGATCGGCATCGATAGCGACGTCAAACCGGTAGCATCGATCCTCGAGGCAGCACACCTCGAGGGCTTCAAGACCGGCCTCGTCGTCACGTCGCGCGTCACCCACGCCACTCCTGCTGGCTACTGCGCACACGTCATGAATAGAAGTCTGGAGGTCGAGATTGCCAGCCACCAAATTGGGCAGAAGCACCCCCTAGGATCGGTCGTGGACCTCATCATGGGCGGCGGTCGTCGCCATTACCAGACAAAGAGGCCGGGTGGGAACAGCACAATTGACCTGATTACATGGGCCAAGGGTCAGGGCTTCTCCTACGCCGGGAATAAAAGAGAGTTGGAAGTGTTTTCGCGCGACCTGGGCAAAGTCCCCCTGCCGTTCTTGGGTCTCTTCGCCGACAGCCACATGGCCTATGAGCTGGATCGTGACAACGAGAAGGAGCCGTCTCTCCTGCAAATGACGCAAACCGCAATCAAGACGCTGTCCGATGCTACCACGGCCGGTAGAGACGGTAGGGACGGTGTAAGCCGTCCCAAGGGCTTCTTTCTCATGATTGAAGCTTCGCGAATCGACCACGCAGGCCACGCCAACGACATCGCCGCGCATATCCACGACATCGCCATGTACTACCAAGTCATGTCTTTCCTGAGGAAATTCGTCACCGAAAACCCCGACACCCAGATCCTCTCGGCGGCGGACCACGAGACCGGCGGCCTGACCCTCGGCACCGGCTACAACCCTGCCATGCTGGAGAGGGCTAACCATACGTCCGAGTACCTCGAGAGGGCCTTTGCCTTGTACCAGGGCCCGGACAGAGCAACTTACTTGAGGAACGTTATTCTTCCCCAGTACGGACTTGTAAGTGCCTCTGACAAAGATGTTAAGAAGTATCTTGATGTTCTCAAACGGGACGGCATCTCCGAGATGGGAAGTGTCATCAGGCGTGACTTTGCGAAATCAGCCGGCATCACGTGGGCAACAGATGGCCATTCGGCCGTCGACGTCCCTCTGTACGGCTTCGCCGTTGGCGACAAGGCGTACTCGCAGATGAAGGAGTACTTGGGGCCTCACACGGATAATACCCAGTTGGCACTGTACATGGAGTCGGCGCTCGGTGTTAACCTAAACAAGGCTACGGAGGCTCTGAGGGAGAACTGGGTCAAGTTTGAGGGGTATGGCGGCAAAGGGGGGAGATGACGAGAATGCGGAGGCTCACCTTATTCTAATTGAGGACCGGGAGATGTTTGTGCCAGACGAAAGAGGGACTCGTGAACATGGTGGACGTTTATATCATGGGTTGATTTTGTAGTCATCCTGGATTATCTTGTACCATGCTAGTCTCAATTGCCGCGATACGTGGAATCGACATGTTAGCAACGACTTCTGGTAACGACGTGATGGTTCAATCTGCTCCCTGCGTTGCAGACTAGAGTGAGATGTATGAAATAGCACGCCATGAAATGAGCCCAGCCACGCAGGGATGGGCCGTTCCTGCCACATCTGGGCCAAATAAAACGCAGCAGGGGCGCGGGTCTTCTCAAGATCCTCATAGGAGTATCCGTTATATGCTATCCTCAGTACGGCATGGTGCAAGAAGTGACTTGATGTAAAACTGGATATCCGGGATATTCGGCCATGGGCCTCTATTGCTGGCTCTTGGTGCTCCGTGGCTCCGTGGTCAAACCCCATGACCATGGGAACTGGTCGGGCATTTGATCAGGCCAAGTTGTTGCAATCACTTGATGAACTCTTGGTAAAAGATCCCGTATGCCTCTAGTGTGGCGTGCAGTCCTCTGCAACGGGCATTAGCTGAGTTGTGACCCTCCATCATGTCAAGCATAACTTACCGTGGTGTATTAGGGCTCCAATGGCGTCACTCCCAGGCAAGTCTTGAGAACCGTAGATGGGATCACCGGTTTGCCAACTGGCCTCGGACATGAACGCAGTCCAGGGATCAACGCAGCCAACATTCATCTATTTGGCAATCTCCCCACATGTATCAGCGTACTGCTCCGTGACGACGTTGGAGCGGTTCAGCTTCAAGTAGCCTCGACTCTTGACGCGATGATCCAGACGTCTCTCCTCTATTAACGGCGGGATCACTAGCAGAAGCCGAGGGTTGTGAGCCTCAAGGGCAGGGTGAGTGAAGAGCTTGACTAGGTTCTTCTTGTACCGGTCCAGTAGCACATGCTCTCCATTCTCAGCGTCCGGGAAGCAGGCGTCGTTGGATCCGAAAATGATAGCCTGGCACCCCCTTTGTTAGCGACACTGCCTACTAGAACATTATTAGCAAGACGTACCATGAAACGGACGCTGGTTTGTTGGGGATCTGACATGATCTTGGGCAACACCTTTAAACCTTGCTCGGTGCCAAGTGGTTGTTGCATGTTGCATGGAGAAGCGGGGCGCTGGATCGAAGACAGATGATAGCTGCCTTGTCGGAAAAGTCGCAGGAACATGCTGAATGTAGCTTAGCCGTTGCCGTTTAGTGGTTGATTAAAGTTTTAGTACTCGGTCTCTCGCAGGGAATTCGGCGCATGAGTGGAGAATGTAACGGAGCACCAAGCGGAGAACGGCACTGGAAGCCACGGTGAGTAACAATTTCTACAGTCACATTTCGGGCCGGCCCTCATCCGCGATTGGCCGCTGACACTACGAGCCAATTACGACTTACGGACGCATTCAGCAGGAATCACGCCTCGATCCTCCCGTCTGGAAGCCACAATAACGACTTGACGCCTTTGTCAACATTGACTTCATCCCGCAGTACTAACCCCATGCCAACGTGAGCCCCTGTCGTGGGTGTAATTTGTAAACAATGCCGCACAATGACGCTGTTGTATTTTAGGCCCCCTAGGCTGCGGCTGAATTCAATGGTTTTTAGCCGAAGCTGCTAGATGGTCAGCGATGATGGTTTCTTTTTCGGTTTCCCCTACCGGGTACCGCCTGCGGGCCGACTGTATGAGGTTGAATACAAGACTAGCCAAAAGGTCAAGCTGCCAAAAGGCGCCCATTGTATTTTATTCTTTATTTCTTTCCTATGCCCATCGGTCAACCTACACCTCTTCATTCTCCCAATCCTTCTCCTCAAACATTGGTTCTTTCCGCACTCCGCTGACTTCAAGCTTCTCCAAAAACTCGGCGGGAACCGAGGGAATGTATTTCCTCTCCCGCTCCCGGTTGACGCCCCCAAATCCTGCGCCGTACGAAACTAGCATGTCTGTGACGGATGGCAGCGTAAACGGTAGCATCAGCGCAGGGTCCATGAGCAAGTGTTCGGGTGCGTCTTCCTCCTCGTCTGACGCGTCGTTGGCGTCGGGGTTGCGCGCACTTGCCACGCTTCCGGGGGTGTCGAGCAGATTGCCGCTGTTTGATCTGCCCTTGACCGGTGTCGTGGGGCTGCTGCTGGCATCTGGGCCCGATTTGGGCAGCGGTGATGCCGCCCGGCTGCGGCGTCTGTCCCGCTTGAGTGCAGCTTCCTTTTGAATCGCCACTAGATACTTCATTGCGCTTTTGGGGAGCCCCTTTTCGCCGACTTCTGGCCGGTAGTGGGTGGCTGCGTGTATGAGCTGCTGTGGTGTGAGCCGTTTCAGCTGTTGAAGGGTGCCCACGAGGGCTTCCAGGTCGTCTGCGTCAAGCGATGAGAAGCACTGGAGCCACTGGAGTAGCTGGATGACGGGGGCGAGAAAGCGCCGAGCGGCATCCATGACCGTCTCCCCAGAGGCCCTCGTGTCGCCGCCTTCGTAGTGCTCCGCCTGTCGATTATTCGTTCGCGCCCAGTCCTCGAGGATGGAGACGTTCATGCGAATCTGCATGGCCTTGGTTCGTGCCAGGTACTTTCGGTTGGACATGATTCTGTTGAAAAGCTCTGCGCCAAGCCAGTACAGTAGTTGCGAAACAATCTGTGCCGTGATGACTGAGTGGATGTCATAGAGGTCCAGTACGAAGAGGGTCGAGGAAAGAAGCGATGTGACGTTTCGAGGCGCTGGCTTTGCGCGCTGCTTGGGCGAGGGCGGCCTGAATCTCTTTTCCAAGGGCTCCTCCTTGACTGTTTGTTTCCGCTTGAAGAGCTTCCATTCGTTCTGAAAAGTAATGTCCTCGAAGCCCGGGATCGTTTCGTGGTCGAGCATGGCGGCATCCAAAACCTTGTCGAGGCGTCTTTCGGCGTCGCGGACAATGAGGATAAAAATCTCATTGATGAGCTCGGCGAGGTGCGCTTGAAACTCGGCCGTCGCCTCAACGAGGCCCGCATCCTTTTTCAGGTAGTGCAACAACAGCGTGGCGTTGGAGATCCAGAACGCCAGTATCGTCATGTCCCACTGACACCTCTCGACCACGTCATTAATCAGGTCCATTGCCGTGACGAGCAGCTTCTCCAGCAACTCGGGGCTGGCGTGGTAATGCGCGTATCTCGCGCTGAGGAATATCATGTTGGCCGGCACGGGCTTTTGTGTCGGCGAGCGCTGGGGTGTCATTTTGGTGATGATGATGTCGAGTATCCGGTCGAGCTCGTGTTCTTGAAAGACAAACATTTGGTCGTGCAAGCAGCGGCTCCAGTCAAACTCTTGCTGTTCCTCCTCAAACTCGTCGGCCGGCTAGCCGCAACGTCAGCACAGGAAAACACACGCCCCTAACGACTTTCCGGTATTATACGCACCTCGGGCTGGTCGTCGATTCCCACATTGCCCAAATCAACCTCCAAGTCTCTGGCACTGTCCATCATCAACCTCCTGCGCAACTCATTCTCTGCCATTTCCTCTTCGAACCGGTCCTGCGAGAAGCCCGGGTTGTAAAAGTCATCGCCCATTCCGGCATTTCCGATATTGTAGCCGTTGTCGTGCAGATAAAAGGACATGTCGCTGTCGGGGGGGACAAAGTCAAAGGCTGTTCGGCCAGAGGAAGTCTTCTGGTCAGAGGATGCGCCATTATCCAGTAGTAGTTTTGCGATTCCCTTGTGTCGGTTCGTCATGGCCCACATGAGAGCGCTCCATTGATTCCGGTCCTGCCTATTGACGTCGGCTCCAGCGTCGATGAGGACCTTGACGACGCTTTCGTGTCCCTATTCAGGTATTAGGCCATTATCGTCGTCGTCGTCGTCATTTAGACGCCAGGAAAGAAAACTCTACTCACAAAGCAACTCGCGTAAATCAAAGGGGGTGTCCCATCCTCGTCGGCGGCGTTGACATCGATTAAGGGCTGGCCGTTTCCACCAAGCAGCCTCTTGACTTTGCCCACGTCGCCATTGCTAGCTGCCATGATCATTGCCTTTTGTAGCATGTCCTTCTTTTCAGATTCAGACAACTTGTCGTCATTGAGAATAGTCTGTTCATCCTCGAGTCCGTGGCCGGCCTGATGAGCTGCTGCTTGGGCTTTCAACATCTCCATGAGTCGCGTGTCACTATCCTTGGGAGGTTTGGGAATATCTCGCTCATAGTCGGCGTCGTCATTCAGGGACAGGTTCCCGAAATTTAATGGTTTCGCCAACGCCGGCGTTGTGAGAAACTGGGATTGACCTTGAAAGGGTGTCAGACATTGACCGTCGGCGCGCCAGCCCTCACTGTGGCTCGCTTTGCGTCCTAGACTAACTCACCTTGCCAGCCATCGTACATCTCGGTCTCGGGGATGTAGTCTTCCATCGGAGCATGTCTTCGGTCGTCTAGGGACGTCGGAAGGTCGGCGGGCATGGCTCGTGGCTTGGGTTCGCCATTATTGCTCAGGTGCTCCGAGTCCATGGCGGAAGGAGGGGCAAGACCACACTCGGCAGCTCATGGAACTTGGGCTGCCCTTGATGACAGTCAGACGGCGCAGCACTGTGGGGATGGAGAGGGAAAAAGAAAACTGCTGGTAATAGGCTGGGAGTCGTCATGAGCTGTCCCGTGTCAGGGAGGCTGTTTCGCGAGCCGTCGTCGTGTGAGGTGTTGGGAGAGAATGGAGCCGGCCAGATCAGGTGTCTGTCTGCCTGCAAGGAACCGATGGGTTGAGTTGAAAGGTGAGTTGCGGCACGTCGTCATTTAGCTGGCTTGGCTCGCCTGAAAGTTGGTCCGTGCGCCGCCCGAGCTCAAGGAGACAAAGCCAAAACAGCACAACCACACAATGCAGGCTTCAAGTGTTGCCCTTGCCACCTTCTCAGGCTTCGTACATGATCCCGAGGTAACATAGCCCACAATCTAGGGAGTACATACATGCACTGATGCAGCGTGCACATATCACGCTCGGGTGAGAAGGCCGATATGTTGGAGCGTTTTTTAATGTGCCCGTTCGATCAGTGCGGAGTCGTGTTCCTCGTCGGAACCCCGTCTCCTTAATCCATGCATCGACTTTAGGACACGTGAACATCGCCTCAAGTATGGATTTCGACCATCATTTTGTGGGCATAATTGTCGGTCCTTCATACCGACCTCATTTCGTCAATCGCACGGGGCAAATAAACGGACTGGATACTTACCAATGTCCACTAAAGCTGATAACATGGCTATCAGAAAAGACCAGAGGGTTGATGGACAGCCCAACAAAGGCGGCACCTACAAAATGAATACCGCACTCGGTTTGCTTTCTTTAGGTATCGATTTCCCGTCAGTTGTCTCTATGCGCACCTCCTTTCATTTCAATCAAAGGCAAAGGTACGTGCTCCACAGCTTGGAACAAACAGAATAATCACCACATGTCCACCCTCGCAATCAGCACCTCCAGGCGGCGCGCTTGACACTACTTTTGGGGAGCATGGCAAGCCTGAGTTGCGTAAAAGTAGTGTCCTCTTCCCCCTCGGCCCCGGGTGCTTGGGGCTACCCTGGATCGGATCCCGGGCCGGTTCGTGATGGGTGCCGGGGCCGGAAAGCACCCGAGGCTGACGGCCGCCGAGTCCGGGGTTGCTCCAGACTTGGTACTGGTGGAAAACGTGGTTCGGTGGGTGGATGGCTTTTGAACTGAGGGCTGTTTTCTGGGTCGCGGAGGATCTTATGGACTGGTTTGCCGAGACGTGCCAGATAATACTTGGGCATATGCATTACTTGCCATCAAACCATGCTCGATCCAGTACGGAGTACTCGTGGGGTAACCGACACGTACTTGAGTAAGTATGAAGCCAGTTTGCGGAGCGGGGATGTTGATTGCCACTCTTAGTGCCTCTAGCTGACGGGAGAGAGGAGTAAATAGTATTGATGGTACGGAGTACTAGTCAGGCACCTAGCAAGGGGACAGCAGAAATACCGGACACTCTGCCCACGTGAGTGAGTGGTGCGTGTTTGGCTTTTCTGTCACCCGCGGGCCTGAGGTGACTACCCTCGATGGATCGGGAAGAGAGGGTAAATTCAGCACCCAGCCTGTCTGCGGAGTAGGCACCAGTGGCCCTACATCTAGGTACTTAAGTGCCTTCCTCGTACCACGGAGTACGGAGTACCAAGTTACATTATCCAAGTCTGACGTGATTGCCGGCATAGATTGTGACTTCTCATTCCACCACCCACCAATCAATGGCGGGGGCGGGGCTCTCGCAGCAGCCTCCCGTCCTACCACACGGAAATCCAACCAGTCACGTACCGAGAAAATGTAAGCTCCCTTGCCAGCTCAAACTGTAAGACGGAATCACGGCCCCTCTCGACCTCATGTCGTCAACCATCAGTCTGCGTGGCCATGAAGAATCCGAAGCAGCCCCAAAAACCGGCAGCTCCCAAACATGTCTTCTAGTCCATCCGCCCATCCATCACTCATCCACGACGTCTTCATCAGCCGCAGACCGCCAGTGTGCTCCCCTCAAGCCCAGCGCACCACAACCTCCATCTGTTGCCGCCAGAGACTTGGATTAGCCGCACACGCTCCAGACTAGCTTCAATACAGACCAGTCCGCCAGCAAGGTTTGCACCAACGCCTTCGTTGAGCAAAGCACGAAACTCTCGGCACAACAAAAAATCGTTAAATAGAATGGCGAGCGCAACAGGTCTCCCCGAGCGGCCACCAGCACGCGAATCCATCGTCGCGGCTGAGACGGAACCGCTGCTTGGAAAGCCCGGGGATGCAGTCTTGCCCACGGGAGCGAGCATCATGAGGGCCTTTGTGATTGGTAAGGCTCTCCCCCGCCACTGCTTGATCCCACGAGAAAACCAGAAGCCCACTGTATCCGAAAGAAGAACAAACCCGCAGTCCTCGTCACAGTCCCCGACTAACCGCGTCAACAGGAACCGGCACCCTCGCCCAGCTCGGCGTCGCCATCATCTGCGCCGACATCTGGGCACACATGTTCTTCAGCCCCATCATCTTCTTCTCCGGCCACCCCATTGCCATGTCGGCCGCCGTCTTCACGCTCACGCAGTCCGTCCTCGTCCAGCAGCCCATCTCCAGCGACACGCCTCACCAGAAGCGCGTGGGCCAGTACGTCCATGCGGCGCTCAATCTGTTCGCCTTTGCGGCAATCGTCACCGGCTTTGCGATAATTGAGATCAACAAATTCCGTAGCAACGGCCCGCACTTTCACTCTGCACACGCCTACCTAGGCGTGTTTACGCTCGTCGTCCTCGCGGGGCAGTACGTCGTCGGCCTCACCATGTGGGCTACGCCGCGGCTGTACGGGGGCGAGGAGAGGGCCAAGTCGCTATACAAGTACCACCGGTACGTCGGGTACTTGATCCTGCTGACGCTTTTGGCGACGGTCGTGGCTGCCACCGAGACAGACTATGTGCGCTCGGTGTTGGGCGTTAACTTTTGGACGGTCCTTGCGGGCAGCGTCCTTGTTGTCATGGGCGTGTTTCCCAGGATTCAGAAGCAAAAGTTGGGACTTGGTCCGAGACAAGAGGAGCGCCCTGTCCATGACTTTGAGAGTGCTACTTCTTAATTGATGGAGGTGTCTCGCGATGGGAGCGTCATATGACCCATTTTCGAAAGAGTGTACGTTGTTCTATCATACCGAAGCAGAACTCGGTAAGCGTTGGATTGGTGCGGCGTTAGGTGTCATCGTGTCACTGCATGTGTTGCTAATCACTTTGATGTAGGGTTTATTTACTTTCATAGTATAGCTAGGGTCGGTGTGCAATAATACGTTTTATGCCCTGATAAATCCAGCGACGCAGGCCTGAAGTCTTACTTGGCTGCCCCAAAACCACGACTTTTGCAGGGAGTGGCGTGGAAGGGAATGACTATGCATATCGTTTCCCGCATGTATCATTCTCCTCATGTCCAAATGTACTTCTTCGCTTTGCCGTCCAATTCATTCTGTCATCCTATTACTGGGAATAGAAAGTAGACGCAAACATGGACCGAAATGTCTATAAAGACGCATACAACCCCCTGAATGGCACCTGCATCGCCCCGACTGCAACACCTTTTGGAGGGTGTTGCAGGAGTTCAAGAATAATCTAGGCGGCCAGAATGATTTACACCTACAAATGGACACGATGTACGTCGTGTTCTCTCTTTGGCATACTGTGTGTGCGCGCGCCATCTTTTTGACACATTCACACAATATGCGTGCATAAACTCATGCGTTACAGTTGTTTGCGGACACCATTCTGCCCGCCACCAAGGCGGCGATGGCCCTGTAGTCGTGACAGAGAACGTTGTCCAGGACCTCTTCGAGACCGTGCACTCAGCCATCAACCCGTCGTATCAGACCGCGACCTTCTTGTCCACAGATGGGAAGACGGATAGCACGGGTAATTACTCACAGGAAGATATTGCCTTGCTTCAGTCTACCTTCTCCACGGAAACCTCTGCAGGCGATGACTTGCACATGGGCAATGGGAAAATGCCTCGCGTCAGAATGATGATTCACCCAGCCTGATTCGCGGCCCTCAAAGAGTCGGGGCCTCGAATGCAAAGATTCCAGTTACTAATTCCGCGTCTCGCCACGATGCCTTGCTGAATTCAACTACTGGCAGGGAAATACCATTATCGCAACTAACTGACACGAAAAGCACGGTATGCCAAATGAGTTCCCCGAGGCGTTCAACAACACGCACCCTTTCCGCTCCGACGGCATCCTCATCACCATGACGCACAGTGAGCGTCTTGCTCCAGGACGCGCTTCTGAAATACTGGCAAATACTGCGCGGATTTTGCAAGGAAACGCTCGAGGTCGTACATGAGGCGGCAAGCGTTCCCGCAGACACAGGGGTTGAGAGATATGCCGTAGGCCAAGGAGTAGAGGGCCTTTACGTGGATTCATTCTGCCGCGGTGCGCTTGTTTACTGTACGTCATGGGAGGCCCTTTGAATCGGGCGGTCTGTTACGGGGAATGGGATGAGGGATGTATTTTGCACAAAAGGAAAGGAAAGACACCGTCGTTTAGGTTGGGGGTGTTATGTCTTCGCGTTCCTTTTTCTTTTTTCCCCTTTCTCACGTTCGCCTTTGTCTATAGATGTTGGCGCCGGCAGCCAACTGTTCAAGTGCCCTTACCAAGGACGACGTTGCGTAAAATCTACAAAAACGCACGTGTCCATACCGTCGAACCGGACGCGATACGCCGGCAGGACCAAACTCCCGCGCGGGTGTCTAGTTGATTAGTCCCGAGAAATGGAACCACTTACACGACTGGTTGCGCTGCACTGGACGAGGTCATGGGCGGATTTTGGCTACTCTTCGAACACAAACAAGTGTTTGGATCGGGGCATGAGTTTCAAAAGGGCCGTCTAGATGCGTCACTGCCCACTTAACCAAGACTCAAACAAATGTCGGATGCAAATGCCGCATGTGAATCTTGGCCCCCAAGGCGGATAAGAAAACACCAGGCGCTCTGCCTATGTAAGCGGTGCGTGTTCGATATTTTTAGCCACACGCGTGGGCCTCGTAAAAACGTAGTCAAGCCATGCTAGTGACGAAAGCCGCGGCGGGACGAGGCAGATCGTGGCATCCAGAGACGCGGCAGAATCGGATGTTTCGCGTGGCAAACAGAGCCTCAATACGATACACGAGGCATCGACGGGATCTAAGCACTAGGGACTTATGAGGCTGGCTTGCCTAGTGGCACTGTACAGAGTGTTGGTACGATGTATGGGTAGCTGTGCTAGTTCGATTCGAGAAAGCTTGAATCCATAATTCCAGCTTGGTGGTGGATTTCCGAATCAGCATCATGCAACTCGCCATGGTAGCGACTAGTAGCATGAACATTAGCATCAACATCCCCATGGCTCGACAATACTGGACAACCATTCACACCAAAAAAGGGCACGTGCCAGTACTGGATCCAATTCCCTAAATGGGATGCTGCTGGGATGCCAAATGGTGCGCCACTGACGCAATCCGGCAGCATTAGTGTGGGACTTGAGTGCTTTCACCCTAGGTTTGACTTGTCAGAATGCGTCACACGGACACAGACAGCCGGGAGGGAAGAGACAAAGAGACGAAAACCTGGGCTTTGATCAACACACCATGAGCAACCACTTGAATAATGACGGGTCTAAGCCGACAGACAATAGAGAGTACGGGTCCCCCCTCCCTCTCCCCCCCGATACCGAATGGGGTACTTCGAGATGCTAGGTCGACGCTTCAGCCACGCGCGCGGCAATCGAAAAAGAAAAGAAAAGAAAAGAACGCGGCCAATAGTATTCCCAAACGAAAACAGTCGTGTCGTAGAAGACTCGGACAGAAGGCCACGCACGTGGCATCCCCTTCGCGTCTCCTTGGCCTCAGGAATAGATTCATTTCATTTCGTAATGGATGTATCGCCAAGTGATGTTCGTTCGTGTATCTCGGGGTTACACGAGCAAGGGACCCCTATCTTCTGACTTGTCGGTCTGGTGAAGACGCGGCAATCTGCATGTGTGTGGTGTTCTGCTTGCTCATCATTAATAACAACAACTCGAGCTCGTGCGGGGAAGGCCAGTCTCAAGTTGGCGTCGTGCATACCGGCTTAGATTTGCTCTGTTGCAGACGACTTGTCAAGCTCTGCATCCGACATCGCGCAAATGCCCGCGTTTTTGCCTCGGATGCCATCTCTGCGCCCCTGATGTTATAGGTGACATGTATGTATCAAAGACGTCTGGTGCTAGCCGGCTAGCCGGCAAGCGTTACTTGGTGGCTTGCAGCATTCATCTCTCCCTCCCTGGCTGGCATCGGTCGAGTGCAGCCGACGCCATGGCGATTATCTGGGGAATTCCAGTCAGTTGTCGGCGCTCCTTGCTTTTTCAATATACTCGTATCAATTGCGATAGTACTATATAGCCCCCAGCTGCAGCCCTACTACACCGGGTTCGCCAACGCGGGCAGGCGCAAGCGCTGAATCCAATCGCCGAATTGAACATATGAAACTGGCTGGTTCCGGTGCAGCCGCACAAACAGGCCACCAGGTGGAGGCAGTTCGGAAATTGGTTCCAAATGTCGTCTCCATGGCAAACAATCAATGTGGCCGAAGCGTGACACGACGTGACTGCGTGACTGCGCACCGTTTCGAGGCAAGGGCCGAGACGAAGCATTTCGACATCTTGGTACGGAGTACTATGTCTTGGCTAGTTTCTATTTTTGGTGTAACTCGGCATTTAGGCGCCATCTGCTGGCGTCAGACACTTCCCATCCCTAACGCGGCAGAGCAGGGAGGACGTATCTATACTCCGTACACAGACAGACCTGAGGTCCAGACAGACTGATAAGATCCACCGAGTTTCGCATCTCACCACATCACTGGGTATTAGAAAGACATCTCTGTGAATTCGTCAATTGCCAGTTGCTTGGTTCGCCGGTAGCTACCCAGCTGAGAATGCCCCGCCTAAGTAGGGATGGGGCATTTTGCCATCGCCATAGCAATCATCATTTGTACGGGCCTTGGATTTGCAGTGGAATTCAACGACAGGGCTGAAGTCATGTTGTGATACAGACGTGCACAGCCTCTCAACGCTGCCTCCTGCTTGCACGTGTCGTGAGGGATGAATCGGTTAGAGGTGGGGAGAGAGGCGTACGTAATTCGTAGCCCCCCGAAAGTACCTTTACATCGCCTGCTGCACTGTTGTGCTGGGATGCGTGTCTACCTGATGTTAGCCGATACATCCTGACAGGGCTCCTGGTAGTTCGGCGGCCACCTTGCACCTGGGAACGGTCTTTGACTCAACGCTGAGCCGGCAACTAATAGCTAGAGTTGCAAATTAAGCACTCCGCAGCATAATAAAAGCTCCTAGTGAGCCACCGTTGAATGGGTCATGAAGTCTAGGGGAACCTCTAAGTTTCCCAGCGCGTGGGCCTTGGGCTGCATGGCAACGGACCATCAGGCTTTAATCCGTAGGCTTGGGTTTTCTGGCGCGTGGGGTTTGGAAAACTAGTGTGAAGAGCTCGTGATGACGAGGACCAGTTGATGGAGATGCACGGGACAGCCGCAAAGCCCAGTTCTGACCAAGAGTCTTCAAGGCCTAGTTGAAACGACCCGAGAATCCAGGAGGCGCCGAATCCAGTCGAACGTTCGAGACGACGAGTCCTCCTTTTCAGCGGTTTCTGGAGGAGGAGAAGCCATATCGATTACACACTTTGCCAAGGCCAAATAGCTTCGAAGCAGCGCCGAGATTTCGGGCCCATGATTTTTTTATTTATTTATTGCCAGGCGGTACGTCTGCAGCTTGGTCGATGTTTGATGCTGCATTTCCTACAGAGGGCGCCGGATCAGAAAAACTTGACGACTCGACGTGCATTGATTTTGCGACTGGGTGACCTACTAGCATGCCTTGTTGAAAGTTCCATTGCTCTTCTTTGGACCCCGGACTAGTCAGCCAGTCATTGGGCGAGACGCTCACATTGTCCTTGACGATTGCTGACAGGTTGCTTGGACATGATAGGCCCAGACGTTGCATTCGCCGTAGAGAGGAAAAGTCGGAACACGACTTGAGATCAACGAGCTCGGGTTTGCTGATTGGAACATTATTAGCCAGTTGTTCATAAGTTTTTGATGGAGAAGCATCAGTGCCTACAGTACGGAGCATATTCCGTACATGATTGTTGACCCGATATGTGGAGTTGCGGTGGGAGTACTCCAGGGGAGGGCGAGAAAACTTGGAAGATAGATTATGGCTGCAATAATCAAGTAAAATTAAAGAACAAGGAGAATGCACTCGGTAGATGCTGTCATGGCCCAGGAATTTCAGGCAGCCCCCGTTGTTCCTGTTGTTTTGTTCGGAGTGCACATGTGTCAACTGGTAGTATGTACTAGTACTAGTAATAGTACTATTACAATGGCCGCAGGGGCAACGACAGCGACGGCACTAACGATGTCTGACCAGTTTAGGCCCTGGACTCTCGCCTGGATTGCGGGCCAACATGGTCGAGGAGAGTCTGGTGTGGCTACTGAATTGCTGTGCGTGGGTGACAGGGACGTGAGTGACGAACTGGTTTTTTTTTGGGTCTGATATGACAACGGAGGAGAATGTGGCTTCCATTTTGGCCCCCTAACCCTCCTTCCCTCCCCCCTTGACCCCCCCCGGGCTGTGGTGATGGGGATGTGCGAGATATGAACGAGCTGATTGGGCGCTGTGGTAACGGAGGGCTTTGGCTGGCCTTGGGCCCTGGCCATGGACCTCTGGAATTAATTCAATCGCCCACTGGTCCGTGCCGTCACCTACGTCATAGTTGCCCCCCCGGTCGCTTCTCCTGGCGACGGCCACTTAGGCAGTTGACGTCTGTCTCTCCAGGGTTGGAGACGATCCTTGGAAAGAAAAAGTGACAAAATCGAGACGGCGGGCAGGTTCTTGGTGTTCTTGCGCGCAGGGCCTACGCGCGTAGAGACGCGGGCGGATGTATGAAGAGCCATTTGATTCATGAATTGTTTATGTATAAATATGTGTAGTATTCAGTGTACGTTTTTGAAAAACAAAACAAAAAAACCTCCGAGGCCATGGACAAAGCCTGTCAGTTGTACCGACATATGGCCTCTTTTTGCTGACCTTCTTGGCCCGGTGAAAAGGCGCGAGGAGCATCAGAGCACTCAAGCGCCTCGACGGCCCCCCGGGAGCCCCCTTGTCATGCAGATGCACCACTGAGCACAGTCGCCCGCCCGCCCGCCTGTCCGCTGGCCCACTTGCAGCGCTTGAGGGCTTCCGAGGACGCAGCCTGACGTTGTGGCCATCCTTGTGTCCATTTTTGCGTCAACCGAGTCACTTGCAAAGTTGCACAA